GTAGCACTAATGCTACAACGCCGAAATGCTACTTCTGGAGATATGCTCTTAGTGATCGGTTATTGATGGACATAAACGGAAATATCAATATCGGAGGGAGTAGCGTTAATTCAGTATACAAACTCGATGTTAACGGCGCAATCTGTGCAACAAGCATTACGGGTACTCTACAGACGGCTAGCCAACCAAGTATTACATCTGTAGGCACACTGGTTAGCCTTGTAGTGGGCGGACAAACATATTGCACTCTATCCACTGCCGCGCAGCCCAATATCACATCGCTAGGAACACTGAGTGGACTGACTATTGCAGGCAATCTATCTTATACCGGTGTTAACCGAACGCTGACCGGACTCAATTCAATTGATGCAGCATCGATTTCAGGCACGCTACAAACCGCGGCACAGCCTAATATCACATCGATTGGCTCGCTAGCATCGCTTACAGCCACTTCGATTACTGGTACGCTACAAACCGCTGCGCAGCCCAACATCACATCTGTAGGTACATTGAGTGGACTAACAATTGCTGGCAATCTCTCTTTTACCGGTGCGAGCCGAACGCTGACCGGACTCAATTCAATTGATGCAGCATCGATTTCAGGCACGCTACAAACCGCGGCACAGCCTAACATCACATCGATTGGTACGCTAGCATCACTTACAGTTTCCGGAGGAATCACTGGTACTCTACAGACCGCGACCCAGCCTAACATCACATCGGTTGGAACGCTAGGTTCGTTGAGTATAAATTCAGTTTTTGGTAAAGGATTGACCATTCAGAATGATAGTACTACATCGACAGCCAGTCTCAATATCATTTCGTATTTTCAGATGGAACAAGGCGTGCGGGGTAGCGCTAATGCTACAACGCCGAAATGCTACTTCTGGAGATATGCTCTTAGTGATCGGTTATTGATGGACATAAACGGAAATATCAATATCGGAGGGAGTAGCGTTAATTCAGTATACAAACTCGATGTTAACGGCGCAATCTGTGCAACAAGCATTACGGGTACTCTACAGACGGCTAGCCAACCAAGTATTACATCTGTAGGCACACTGGTTAGCCTTGTAGTGGGCGGACAAACATATTGCACTCTATCCACTGCCGCGCAGCCCAATATCACATCGCTAGGAACACTGAGTGGACTGACTATTGCAGGCAATCTATTTTATACCGGTGTTAACCGAACGCTGACCGGACTCAATTCAATTGATGCAGCATCGATTTCAGGCACGCTACAAACCGCGGCACAGCCTAATATCACATCGATTGGCTCGCTAGCATCGCTTACAGCCACTTCGATTACTGGTACACTACAAACCGCTGCGCAGCCCAACATCACATCTGTAGGTACATTGAGTGGACTAACAATTGCTGGCAATCTCTCTTTTACCGGTGCGAGCCGAACGCTGACAGAACTTAATTCAATTGCTGCAGCACCGATTACTGGTACTCTACAGACCGCGACCCAGCCTAACATCACATCGGTTGGAACGCTAGGTTCGTTGAGTATAAATTCAGTTTTTGGTAAAGGATTGACCATTCAGAATGATAGTACTACATCGACAGCCAGTCTCAATATCATTTCGTATTTTCAGATGGAACAAGGCGTGCGGGGTAGCGCTAATGCTACAACGCCGAAATGCTACTTCTGGAGATATGCTCTTAGTGATCGGTTATTGATGGACATAAACGGAAATATCAATATCGGAGGGAGTAGCGTTAATTCAGTATACAAACTCGATGTTAACGGCGCAATCTGTGCAACAAGCATTACGGGTACTCTACAGACGGCTAGCCAACCAAGTATTACATCTGTAGGCACACTGGTTAGCCTTGTAGTGGGCGGACAAACATATTGCACTCTATCCACTGCCGCGCAGCCCAATATCACATCGCTAGGAACACTGAGTGGACTGACTATTGCAGGCAATCTATCTTATACCGGTGTTAACCGAACGCTGACCGGACTCAATTCAATTGATGCAGCATCGATTTCAGGCACGCTACAAACCGCGGCACAGCCTAATATCACATCGATTGGCTCGCTAGCATCGCTTACAGCCACTTCGATTACTGGTACGCTACAAACCGCTGCGCAGCCCAACATCACATCTGTAGGTACATTGAGTGGACTAACAATTGCTGGCAATCTCTCTTTTACCGGTGCGAGCCGAACGCTGACAGAACTTAATTCAATTGCTGCAGCACCGATTACTGGTACGCTACAAACCGCGGCACACATCGATTGGTACGCTAGCATCACTTACAGTTTCCGGAGGAATCACTGGTACTCTACAGACCGCGACCCAGCCTAACATCACATCGGTTGGAACGCTAGGTTCGTTGAGTATAAATTCAGTTTTTGGTAAAGGATTGACCATTCAGAATGATAGTACTACATCGACAGCCAGTCTCAATATCATTTCGTATTTTCAGATGGAACAAGGCGTGCGGGGTAGCGCTAATGCTACAACGCCGAAATGCTACTTCTGGAGATATGCTCTTAGTGATCGGTTATTGATGGACATAAACGGAAATATCAATATCGGAGGGAGTAGCGTTAATTCAGTATACAAACTCGATGTTAACGGCGCAATCTGTGCAACAAGCATTACGGGTACTCTACAGACGGCTAGCCAACCAAGTATTACATCTGTAGGCACACTGGTTAGCCTTGTAGTGGGCGGACAAACATATTGCACTCTATCCACTGCCGCGCAGCCCAATATCACATCGCTAGGAACACTGAGTGGACTGACTATTGCAGGCAATCTATTTTATACCGGTGTTAACCGAACGCTGACCGGACTCAATTCAATTGATGCAGCATCGATTTCAGGCACGCTACAAACCGCGGCACAGCCTAATATCACATCGATTGGCTCGCTAGCATCGCTTACAGCCACTTCGATTACTGGTACGCTACAAACCGCTGCGCAGCCCAACATCACATCTGTAGGTACATTGAGTGGACTAACAATTGCTGGCAATCTCTCTTTTACCGGTGCGAGCCGAACGCTGACAGAACTTAATTCAATTGCTGCAGCACCGATTACTGGTACGCTACAAACCGCGGCACAGCCTAACATCACATCGATTGGTACACTAGCATCACTTACAGTTTCCGGAGGAATCACTGGTACTCTACAGACCGCGACCCAGCCTAACATCACATCGGTTGGAACGCTAGGTTCGTTGAGTATAAATTCAGTTTTTGGTAAAGGATTGACCATTCAGAATGATAGTACTACATCGACAGCCAGTCTCAATATCATTTCGTATTTTCAGATGGAACAAGGCGTGCGGGGTAGCGCTAATGCTACAACGCCGAAATGCTACTTCTGGAGATATGCTCTTAGTGATCGGTTATTGATGGACATAAACGGAAATATCAATATCGGAGGGAGTAGCGTTAATTCAGTATACAAACTCGATGTTAACGGCGCAATCTGTGCAACAAGCATTACGGGTACTCTACAGACGGCTAGCCAACCAAGTATTACATCTGTAGGCACACTGGTTAGCCTTGTAGTGGGCGGACAAACATATTGCACTCTATCCACTGCCGCGCAGCCCAATATCACATCGCTAGGAACACTGAGTGGACTGACTATTGCAGGCAATCTATCTTATACCGGTGTTAACCGAACGCTGACCGGACTCAATTCAATTGATGCAGCATCGATTTCAGGCACGCTACAAACCGCGGCACAGCCTAATATCACATCGATTGGCTCGCTAGCATCGCTTACAGCCACTTCGATTACTGGTACGCTACAAACCGCTGCGCAGCCCAACATCACATCTGTAGGTACATTGAGTGGACTAACAATTGCTGGCAATCTCTCTTTTACCGGTGCGAGCCGAACGCTGACAGAACTTAATTCAATTGCTGCAGCACCGATTACTGGTACGCTACAAACCGCGGCACAGCCTAACATCACATCGATTGTACGCTAGCATCACTTACAGTTTCCGGAGGAATCACTGGTACTCTACAGACCGCGACCCAGCCTAACATCACATCGGTTGGAACGCTAGGTTCGTTGAGTATAAATTCAGTTTTTGGTAAAGGATTGACCATTCAGAATGATAGTACTACATCGACAGCCAGTCTCAATATCATTTCGTATTTTCAGATGGAACAAGGCGTGCGGGGTAGCGCTAATGCTACAACGCCGAAATGCTACTTCTGGAGATATGCTCTTAGTGATCGGTTATTGATGGACATAAACGGAAATATCAATATCGGAGGGAGTAGCGTTAATTCAGTATACAAACTCGATGTTAACGGCGCAATCTGTGCAACAAGCATTACGGGTACTCTACAGACGGCTAGCCAACCAAGTATTACATCTGTAGGCACACTGGTTAGCCTTGTAGTGGGCGGACAAACATATTGCACTCTATCCACTGCCGCGCAGCCCAATATCACATCGCTAGGAACACTGAGTGGACTGACTATTGCAGGCAATCTATCTTATACAGGTGTTAACCGAACGCTGACCGGACTCAATTCAATTGATGCAGCATCGATTTCAGGCACGCTACAAACCGCGGCACAGCCTAATATCACATCGATTGGTACGCTAGCATCGCTTACAGCCACTTCGATTACTGGTACGCTACAAACCGCTGCGCAGCCCAACATCACATCTGTAGGTACATTGAGTGGACTAACAATTGCTGGCAATCTCTCTTTTACCGGTGCGAGCCGAACGCTGACAGAACTTAATTCAATTGCTGCAGCACCGATTACTGGTACGCTACAAACCGCGGCACAGCCTAACATCACATCGATTGGTACGCTAGCATCACTTACAGTTTCCGGAGGAATCACTGGTACTCTACAGACCGCGACCCAGCCTAACATCACATCGGTTGGAACGCTAGGTTCGTTGAGTATAAATTCAGTTTTTGGTAAAGGATTGACCATTCAGAATGATAGTACTACATCGACAGCCAGTCTCAATATCATTTCGTATTTTCAGATGGAACAAGGCGTGCGGGGTAGCGCTAATGCTACAACGCCGAAATGCTACTTCTGGAGATATGCTCTTAGTGATCGGTTATTGATGGACATAAACGGAAATATCAATATCGGAGGGAGTAGCGTTAATTCAGTATACAAACTCGATGTTAACGGCGCAATCTGTGCAACAAGCATTACGGGTACTCTACAGACGGCTAGCCAACCAAGTATTACATCTGTAGGCACACTGGTTAGCCTTGTAGTGGGCAGACAAACATATTGCACTCTATCCACTGCCGCGCAGCCCAATATCACATCGCTAGGAACACTGAGTGGACTGACTATTGCAGGCAATCTATCTTATACCGGTGTTAACCGAACGCTGACCGGACTCAATTCAATTGATGCAGCATCGATTTCAGGCACGCTACAAACCGCGGCCCAACCTAACATCACATCGATTGGTACGCTAGCATCGCTTACAGTTTCCGGAGGAATCACTGGTACTCTACAGACTGCGGCACAGCCTAACCTCACATCGATTGGTACGCTAGCATCGCTTACAGCCACTTCGATTACTGGTACGCTACAAACCGCTGCGCAGCCCAACATCACATCTGTAGGTACATTGAGTGGACTAACAATTGCTGGCAATCTCTCTTTTACCGGTGCGAGCCGAACGCTGACAGAACTTAATTCAATTGCTGCAGCACCGATTACTGGTACGCTACAAACCGCGGCACACATCGATTGGTACGCTAGCATCACTTACAGTTTCCGGAGGAATCACTGGTACTCTACAGACCGCGACCCAGCCTAACATCACATCGGTTGGAACGCTAGGTTCGTTGAGTATAAATTCAGTTTTTGGTAAAGGATTGACCATTCAGAATGATAGTACTACATCGACAGCCAGTCTCAATATCATTTCGTATTTTCAGATGGAACAAGGCGTGCGGGGTAGCGCTAATGCTACAACGCCGAAATGCTACTTCTGGAGATATGCTCTTAGTGATCGGTTATTGATGGACATAAACGGAAATATCAATATCGGAGGGAGTAGCGTTAATTCAGTATACAAACTCGATGTTAACGGCGCAATCTGTGCAACAAGCATTACGGGTACTCTACAGACGGCTAGCCAACCAAGTATTACATCTGTAGGCACACTGGTTAGCCTTGTAGTGGGCGGACAAACATATTGCACTCTATCCACTGCCGCGCAGCCCAATATCACATCGCTAGGAACACTGAGTGGACTGACTATTGCAGGCAATCTATCTTATACCGGTGTTAACCGAACGCTGACCGGACTCAATTCAATTGATGCAGCATCGATTTCAGGCACGCTACAAACCGCGGCACAGCCTAATATCACATCGATTGGCTCGCTAGCATCGCTTACAGTTTCCGGAGGAATCACTGGTACTCTACAGACCGCGGCACAGCCTAACCTCACATCGATTCGTACGCTAGCATCGCTTACAGCCACATCCATTACAGATACGCTACAAACCGCGGCCCAGCCTAACATCACATCGGTTGGAACGCTAGGTTCGCTGATAATTGATAGCGTTTTCTCGAAAGGATTAGCCATTCAAAATTATTCTAATACATCGACAGCCAGTATCAATATCGTGAGCTATTATCAGATGGAACAAGGCGTACGGGGTAGCGCTAATGCTACAACGCCGAAATGCTACTTCTGGAGATATGCTCTTAGTGATCGGTTATTGATGGACATAAACGGAAATATCAATATCGGAGGGAGTAGCGTTAATTCAGTATACAAACTCGATGTTAACGGCGCAATCTGTGCAACAAGCATTACGGGTACTCTACAGACGCCTAGCCAACCAAGTATTACATCTGTAGGCACACTGGTTAGCCTTGTAGTGGGCGGACAAACATATTGCACTCTATCCACTGCCGCGCAGCCCAATATCATATCGCTAGGAACACTGAGTGGACTGACTATTGCAGGCAATCTATTTTATACCGGTGTTAACCGAACGCTGACCGGACTCAATTCAATTGATGCAGCATCGATTTCAGGCACGCTACAAACCGCGGCACAGCCTAATATCACATCGATTGGCTCGCTAGCATCGCTTACAGTTTCCGGAGGAATCACTGGTACTCTACAGACCGCGGCACAGCCTAACCTCACATCGATTGGTACGCTAGCATCGCTTACAGCCACATCTATTACAGATACGCTACAAACCGCGGCCCAGCCTAACATCACATCGGTTGGAACGCTAGGTTCGCTGATAATTGATAGCGTTTTCTCGAAAGGATTAGCCATTCAAAATTATTCTAATACATCGACAGCCAGTATCAATATCGTGAGCTATTATCAGATGGAACAAGGCGTACGGGGTAGCGCTAATGCTACAACGCCGAAATGCTACTTCTGGAGATATGCTCTTAGTGATCGGTTATTGATGGACATAAACGGAAATATCAATATCGGAGGGAGTAGCGTTAATTCAGTATACAAACTCGATGTTAACGGCGCAATCTGTGCAACAAGCATTACGGGTACTCTACAGACGCCTAGCCAACCAAGTATTACATCTGTAGGCACACTGGTTAGCCTTGTAGTGTTATGACGAGACCAACTACAACCTGTACTGTAAGCGGACGCAAGGTCGCGCTCTTGTCGGACAACGCGCGATCGTCAAGCTCCCTCCCTCTAAGGGGGCTAACTTACAGGTGCAGTGCGCAGTTTCCCCCGAAGTCGGCCTCGTGCACTACGCCACGCGTCGTGGCAGCATCAAGATGGAGGTCAATGCCGAGTTTGTGGACGAGGTATACGACGCGGTCGAGGCCCACGACGTGTACCGCGACCACTTTCTCGGCAAGACCATCGTCATCGTCCTGGACAACGCGCCTGCCCACTGCCAGACGGAGGATCTCGTCCAACAGCGGGCGGATCTGGAGTTGCTACGCCTAGGGCCGTACTCGCCTATGTGTAACCCGATCGAAGGTACGGCTAGCTTATCTGTTTTTGGTGCGATATACTTAGAGGTACTGAAGCGATACAATGTATTATTGTGCAGGTTGCTTTAGCGTTTTAAAAGCTCGCATCAAGGCGTATCTGGGCTTGAGCCACGATGAGATGATCAACGTGCCGCACGGCCAGAAGACGGAGCGTAGGATGCGACTGCTCGAGATAGCCGTGGAGCACTGCATGCCTTGCATTGACATGCGCCTCGTTAACAAGATGGCGCGACACTGTGCGCTGTCTGTCGCCGCTGCTATTCGTAGCGAGCCCATGGAGAATGGAACTTAGATGTTTGCTGTGGACTAAATCCACATTGGTCTGTACTAATCCTCGAAAATATTTTTTTGAAAAAAATATTTTTCGTATTTACGTGACTCTCGGCTTTGCCTTACACTACTGCCAACTTGGATTGGCAAAGGTGTTGATATACAGAGAGAGAGAGTCTGGACGATCTATTCCAGCACCCGCGAAGCCTTAGCAGTCAATCGTCAGAGTTTTGCGAAATGAGCGGCATTTGCTTACCCAACAGGTAGATAGATCGCTCTGTCTTTTTATTTAAAATTACGCAACTCATCGCTTCGTCTACATTCGAACCAGAGCTCGTTATGGGCCAGAATGCCACCTATAATAACATACAGGTATCCAAATCTGCAGTGACAATATTAACACCCTCCGTTCCATGTTTGGCGAGCATGTCTAATGTGAGACGATGTACTAAGCTTTCAACATTTGAGGCGTACAGCTTACGTAGCTCGAGCTAGCAGACATGATAGCACGAGATATTGACAAGCGTTGCCCAGCTATAAAGTATGCTTCAGCGGACGCATAGCGTAGTTTATTAGTGAAATCCTTAGCAACCTTTCACAAAAGTACAGCGGGTGGAAAAAGTCATAGCCCACCCCAAGCCCGCCACATACATACAGTAAGTCAAAACGATTTGCAAGCCCGATGACCCAGTGTTTCGACCTACCCAGTTGCATCCAGCAACACTAGCGATACAATGCACACATGAGACGAAAGGTACTCATGTTGTCATACATATAAGCAAAGCAGGATCCCGAGAAACCAAGAAACGGATATGATATCGTGCAATGTCTGAGGGCATTCATCACGTTTTGCCAGGCGTTGGAGATTCACAATCTGGTGATCCAATACAAAAACCAAGATAAACTCAGATTGGACCGGTTTCATTCGAGCAGCGATTCGTCAAAATCCAGCCTTTAATAGTCAATGGAATTCGAGCAATTTCGGCAATTTTGTGAGTTGAAGCGCTGTTGTCATTTCACTTGAACATCTTTTTGACTTGGTCTTAGCACACTGACCCGCACAGGTAGCTCGGGGTTTCTCCGCCCGCTGTAGTAATAACTCGTAATTTTTAGTCTTATCTTAGACTTGTCCTTGATTTTAGTGCTAAACTTAGCAAACAACCCCTGAGCTACAGAGTAATACATGTAGCCATTCGTAGCTTTAAATGTAATTGGTTAGGTTAACAAGTACTCTATTTCGGTTAGAAAGATACCCGGTTTCGGTAAGTTACAAAACAATTCTGCCGGCCAAGCACAGCTCTTCGACCTGTGAACAAGATGCTCGCTTTGACGGTCTAGTTGATCGACTTCTCAGCATGAGTGGAGCAGTGGGTCCGCTGAGCGCGGCTGCTCTCAAAGCTTTGCCCGTCAGCAAACACGAAGTCAACGGCAGTTTTGCTATTTCACATTCGGCGACTGTGACGTACGTGACCAACTTGGATTTATGGGTCTGCAAAAGTTTTCAGTTGCTGCCTGCAGCGCAAAAGAACACTGTTGTCGCCGCTGTGGCAAGAATGTACGTTTTGGCCATTTCACGCATCTTTGCTTTGACACAATCAACGGAGTCGTCACCACCCGTAACACCAAAAGAGCTGGTATCGAGTAAAATGGTTGAGCTGTCGAGGACGATCGATGACCACCGCGATAGACTCGTGCAACACTTCGGCGAATAAGGGATCGACAAAATTGGACATGAGTTCAAAGTACTTTGCCGAGAGTATGGAAGCAACAAACCCATCCGCACAGCATCGACAAATTTGACCACCGTCTTGCCGACTTCCACGAGATGTGGCGCCTTGGCGACGCAGCGGAAAGATTTCCGATGCTGGCAAGTTTTTGTGGAGGAATTGCTACAGTCTTCCCAAACACGGCCACCGTGGAGGCTGACTTCTCTCTCATAGGGTGCGCGAAGACTGACAAGCGAACGGCCCTCACCGACCTAGCTCTCGAAGGCGTCTTGTACTGCAAGCAGTGGAAGCGTCTGTCTCCTCTACCTTAAGCTTTAGAGTAGCAGCAACTCGTTATTCCCATAAATCCCACTTTTCCCACATTCTGTGTCTAAGATGGGTCACTTCCTAGCAGAAAGTGGTAAAAGTGACTTCTCCCCTTTTTAAGTGGTCTGATTATGACTGTCGGTGGACGCGCCTGCTAGTATCATAGCGTGTGTTTACCCGTGGTCAGACCAAGAGAAGAGAAGAGGTGGTCGTGTATACGAAGGGCGAGTCATCGCCGTGTAGTGGAGGAGCGAGACCGCATTTCATTTATCCTTCGCGCCGGAGTATAGCTCCGGCACCCTCGTATCAAGCCGTGACTGGCTGGGACCCTTCTTTCCTGAGGGCCTGCGAGGTTTATATTGTGTGTGAGAGCTTTGCTCGTGGCTGGTGACGCTCGTCAGTTGACTAAGCGGAAACACGGTGCACAGAGGAAACATCAACCCGGTGCAAGGGAAAGTTCCTGGGCCTTCAGGTTCTAACCCTAACAAGCCCATTGAGTCATCGGGACTTGATGGGTGTTATTGGTGGGGAAAGTGTGCTATTATATAATTTAGTGCGTGTCAGAAGCGAATGTTGGTTTTAGATAAATTGCTACACTTTAGATCGCAAAAAATGCCATCTGACTTCACTCCGATTTAGAGCGCCAAGTCAGCGCTTGCATCCATTACTACGAGTGAGTTGGCAAGGCTAGAATTGCTAAAAGAGAGTGCACTTCAACTTTCCCGCATGGATACGTCTACGCAAAGCTCATCATGTCCAATACTCTGTGAAGCTACAGCCTGTAGCCTACAGATAGCTCCAGGCAGTGGCGCAGGTGGTCTCCTTATACCTTGGGGACCCACACCCCGCACTACGCAACTAGCGCCAAGTCGCAACGACGGGTTCGTTCGCTGCCCTGCTAGTCGCTGGGCCCTCCTACGCGGACATGCTTCACGGGCACCCCGCGCGGGTTTGCTTTGGCTATGCTCCTCGCAACCACTTGCTGCCGATAGAATAGAGAATCTCGCGATAGCATTAGCTGATAATGAAGACTCCATCATGCAGCCCCTCCAGTGCTGTTAATTGCTTATTGGTTCGATGACCTGCATGGGTTAAACTGAGACTCTAAGTTTGCTTCACTACACTACAAAAAATGCCCATGGTGACTGATAGAGTTACAGAATCAATTAGAGGGTGGGGGCTCCACTACAGGGTGTCGGCCCCCTAAGCAACTCAACGGAGCAACGCGACTGAGGTGTTCAATTACTAGTAACTTCAAAATGTTATTATACCCAATGGCAAGTTTTATTTTTTTCTGCAAGGCGTTATTATGCAATAAATAACGGACGCAATGCATCGGTAAACTTCATATATTCTTCAGCAAAATTAAGATGAACACTCAGCTTTCATAGAGTGTAGTTTCATCCTTCCGCCACACGAACGTCTTCATCCCGCTCGGGAACTGCTCTGTCTCGTCGTCCCGGTGGTCCCATTTTCCGTTCGTCTTGGAGCTCCGGTGGATGTCCACCGCCAACAGCACCGTGCGGTGGTAGATCTGCAGACGGTTGCGTTTCGAAGCGTCCTCCACCTCAGGCCACCGCATCGAAGCCACGTCCGGCACGAACAACGTCTCGGGCAACACGTTGTTCAGAATGCCCACGAGCGACGTCAATACGTCGGACGCCCCCGTCTGGAACGGAATCTCGACGCCCGTGTTGGCTTGGCCGTAGCCTTCCCGCATGTTGAAGTATTTGATACCGTGGCTGATCCAGGGCTTGACGCTGAAGTACTCGCACTGAGTTTTGGCGCAGAGCCTTTCAGCCGCGGCGATGAGACCGTTGACGTTCTGCTCCTTGGCACCGCGGAACACCGCAGCCGTTCGGCCGGCATTGCACCACGGAGAGTCACTGAAGCTTCTAATAATGAGAGGACAGGCATCCAACTTCGCGATGAACGTCTCGATGTCTTCGACCGTCTCCGCGTATACAAGCGAGTCGAGAGGCTGCTCCACGTTCGCCACCTTGTTGCCGCGGCCGAGCTGGTGGTCGAAGATGAACTCGCGCAGGTCCAGCGCTGAGCCTTTCGTCGCTGCGTACTCCTTCCCGGGCAACGCGGTGGCGTTTAGAGCCACCTTGCCGCCGTACGTGTTGAGGTTCAGGTACTTCCTCATAACATGCGAGAGGTGCATGTCTTCCGACGTCGCCCAGGACGGTGGCCGCTCCTTCATGAAGTACTCGAGCCACGACTGCTCCAGGAACCACATGCCGCAGAGGTAGTCCTGCTCCTCCATGTCCGTGGTCGAGAGGTCATACCCCACAGTCGGCCAGCTCTTGTAGCCCTCGAACGTCGCTGCACGGAGGTGGCCATTGTTGCCCCACACACCCTTCTTGATGTTCATGTACTGAATGTAGTCGAACACAGTCGTGGAGTCGATGGCCTTATCGTCGTCCACGATCAGCACGTACTTGGTGGTGGCCATGTACGCGAGCAGGAAGCGTCCGTGGAACTTGTGGTTGAACTCGGACACCGTGAAGACCAGTCGGTGGCTTTGGGCGGGGTACGCTACTCGTGTTGCGTCCAGGACGGCTTCGTACAGGTGTCGGCTGGGCGAGTTGAAGCACATGACCCAGACGTTGGGCGGCTCCACGTTCTCCTGGTTGAGCGCCGCGTCCAGTTGAATATGCAACGCCTCGGGCTCGCCCCGGTAGACGTTGAAGATGATGGTCGTGGACGTGTCGTTCGCGCTGAAGTCGGACGTGTAGAAGTCCTCGCCCATGGCAAGTGGCTCGTGACTGGAGTGCACTGCAAGTGTGGTCTTCTTGGTCAGCTGATCGGAAGGTTGTTGTTGTTCGTCTTGAACCGCTCCAAACGGCTCGACTGGTCCTTTGTTCGAGCGCAGCACGCCGCGTAGTTTTCCTCTGGTTGTCTTGATGACGTGGGGGCCCAGCGTGAAGATCATCGAGCAGCACATGACGAAAAGCGCCGTCCCGCCGAGTACCAGGTTGAGTTTGAGGCTTCGAGGATAATTGTTCCGCTTCATTCCGGGGCTGGAGGCGTCAGCGTTTGCTCTGGCGCTACGATTGAAGAATGACTCAGCTGAGACCGCACGGACGCTCGAGAGGGACGTTCGAAGTATCGAACTGATAGCTGCGGAGTATCGAGGTGGCGATACGCCAGAATCGCAGGTGAAATTTATCGACTCAGGCAAGAACGGGGACGAGGCGAAGAATTGCCGAGACGACAATAACAACATCACTGAGCGATGACTGGAACCAGTGCAGCCAGTAAAGCACGGTCATTAGCTCATCATTCCATGATCTCATCGTATCGTTCGTCACTAACAACGAGCGAGCTGCAGCCGTCCGAGGGCATCACATCGCTGGCCCACATAGTCAAGTTTTAATGCCAGCGCTCATCTTTCGGCTGTATTTCTGAGCTTGCTGCCGTTCAAATAACAAACGATGTATATTTTTCAGCCGACTTCATGGCTTACGACGAGTAATAGTGAAGTGGGTCATCGGTCGACTCTCGCTGCCATATCAACGTCTCCATTCGGGACGGGAATTCATCCGCGATCACCCACTCGTCCTTCTCATCGTCAACAACTTTGCCGTTTGTCTTGGAGTTCCGGTGGATGTCCACCGCCAACAGCACCGTGCGGTGGTAGATCTGCAGGCGGTTGCGTTTCGAAGCGTCCTCCGCCTCAGGCCACCGCATCGAAGCCACGTCCGGCACGAACAACGTCTCGGGCAACACGTTGTTCAGAATGCCCACGAGCGACGTCAATACGTCGGACGCCCCCGTCTGGAACGGAATCTCGACGCCCGTGCTGGCTTGGCCGTAGCCTTCGCGCATGTTGAAGTATCTGATACCGTGGCGGATGTTGGGCTTGACGCTGAAGTACTCGCACTGAGTTTTGGCGCAGAGCTTCTCTGCGGCGGCGATGAGACCGTTGACGTCCTGTTCCTTCGCCCCACGGAACACCGCTGCCGTCTTGCCACCATCGCACCAGGGGCCTGAGACTGCAGCTGCAGTCCCATTGACTTCACCAACATTGACAGCCACACTGCCATTTTGCGACGGACACGCGTCAAGCTTTGCCAAGTAGTCCTCAATGTCGCCTGCTGTCTCGGCGTAGACAAGCGTCTTGATCGGCGCATTAACACTAACGACCTTGTTGCCCCGTCCAAGCTCGTGGTCGAAGATGAACTCACGGAGGTCCAACGCGGATCCCTGCGTCGCCTGAACTTCCTTGGGCTTGTGAGGGAGCGTCTTACCAATCGCAACTCGACCCGCGTACGTGTTGAGGTTCAGGTACTTCCTCATGACATGCGAGAGGTGCATGTCCTCCGACGTCGCCCAGGACGGTGGACGCTCCTTCATGAAGTACTCGAGCCACGACTGCTCCAGGAACCACATGCCACTGAGGTAATCCTGCTCGGCCATGTCCTCGCCCGTGAAGTTGCGGGGCCAGCTCTTGTAGCCCTCGAACGTTGGTGCTCGGCGGTGGCCATTGTTGCCCCACACTCCTTTCTTGATGTTCATGTACTTGATGTAGTCATTCACCGTGTCGCCGTCGATGGCCTTGTCGTCGTCCACGATCAGCACGTACTTGGTCTTTGCCATGTACGCGAGCAGGAAGCGGCCGTGGAACTTGTAGTTGAAGTCCGAGACGGTGAACTTGACGGTGTGCGCAACGTCGGGGAATTTCTTCTTCACTTCCTCCACCACGTGCCGGTACTTCTTCTCCATGGGCGAGTTGAAGCACATGACCCAGACCTCCGGGGGCGAGACGTACTTCTGAGTCAGCGCCTTCAGCAGCTGCACCGCGAGCGCCTTCGGTCTGCCCTTGAACACGTTGAAGATGATGGTGGTCGAAGTGTCGTTCTCGCTGAAGTCGGACGTGTAGAACTCGTCGCCCATGGGCAGCACTTCTCGACTCGGCTGGACGTCCACAGTCAAGTCTTCAACCGCTGAGACCTTGAGCAAGACCTGGTGCTGCGAGTACTCGTCCACATCCTGGCTGCGGATGGCGAAGGCGTGGTGGTTGGCCACACGCTTGTCGAAGCCCGCCAGGGACCCCACGAACCAGCACACGAACAGAATCCAGCCTCCGCCAAGGACGTAGAGCGCTCTCGGTCGCCGCCACAAGTCCGAGTTGCCGACGTTGTGTCTTCTGGACTCCATCGCAAGTCGCGGAAAGTTGCTTAGTGAGGGTGAGATCTCGATTGGCACGAGCGCGGATCAAGTGGAGACTCTGCTGGGTGCGATGATGTTGGAAACCAACGATCGCTTCAACCGCTTGAAACGACCAGCTCCAGAACTTCAGAAACGAACGATCCACCCATCCACACCAAAATGTCGACGAGCCGCATACCAAGTCTTGATTGACACGACGCCACCCGCATCACCAGCCTGCCCGCAATCCAGCCAGCGGCAACAGACAATGGATCGAAAAAACCACGCACTGGTCTACTATATATTTAGTGCTCAGTCCCCACCTGCTCCCGTTCCTGCGTCGTTCCTCCTCCTGCCGCTGCTGCTGTTGACGTGGCCGAGTCGGCGGTGCTACTCACCCTCGCCCTCACCTGGCACCGCGGGCTCCTCTCCTGCGCTGTCTTTTCCCTCTGCCTTGCCTGTTGCCAGGAGCGGGAGCGCGTTGCTGCGTGGGTGGCGCGACTCGGTCGGTAGCTCTCTGGATGAGCTCCAGGCTCACTGGAAGGTCTTTCGCTTGCCCATGCGCTCGAACTGCGCCACCATGCTGCAGGTCCGCGCAGCCAGGTCGCGGGTCTTGTCGATCACCTGGCGGTGGACCGAGTTCTGCGGCATGCCCATGACGATGCGTCCTTCCTGGGTGTCGATCTTGGCGTCCAGGCGCGCGTTGCGGATGAGGTTCACGATCCACTTCTCGGCCTCGCCGTCCTCCTGCATGGCCAGCTTGGATGACAGCGCCTTCATGTCGATGGTGCGGTGCACGCGGCAGTACATCTCGAAGATGGCCAGGCGCGCGGCCTCCATGAAGTCCGTCGAGTTCTTCTCGTAGAGGAAGAAGTCGCTGGCCAGCACGACCTCGCACTCGCGCAGCTTCTCCTGGGCCGACTCGAAGTCGAAGTTGACGAACAGGCAGTCGACGAAGTCCACGATCGGGTCACGGTAGCCCTTGTCGTCCACGCGCAGCACGCGCAGCAGGTCCTTGATGAGGTTGCGGCGACGCTTGTGCAGGATCACGCCGGCGCACAGGTAGCGCAGCAGCCACGGCGCGTTGCTCTGGATGGCCTCCACGCAGCGCGACTGCAGCATGAAGTCCACGATGGCGTCGCGGCCCTCCTCGTGCCACGCGAACACGAACAGCGACCAATGCAGCAGCCACGTGCGCTGCTGGAGCTGCTCCACGGGGCTCATAATGGTCTGTCAACATACAACAACAAAAAACAAATTAGCTAGGAACAGCGGTTCAATACATCCCCGGCTACTCCACGTACGCTGCTCTCGATGACGTCGCTGATGCGCGAGATGTCGGCGAGCGCGTCGTCCCAGCGGAAGATGAGGATCTCGGCCGCGAGCTTGCCCCAGAGCGCGTTGAGGTATTGCTCGGACGAGTTGGGGATGAGCACGCCGTAGTACGTGAGGTACGTGAGGCAGTCCTGGTAGTTACCGCACTCGTACTGCAGCTTGGCGTACTTGTAGAGGCCGTCCAGCACGGCGGGCGTGATGCCCTCGTTCTGCTCGAGGTGGCTGGCGTTCAGCAGGTTCTCGCTCTGCAGCTGCATGATCTTCTCCTCGTCCTCGATGAGCTCCAGCATGGGGCTGCACTCGCTCTTGGCAAAGCTCAGCGCATCCAGGATCTCGCCGCGGCGCGTCTCGAACTCCTCGGGCACGTCCTCCGTGCCGTGCAGCGTCTGGTGGATCTCCACGGCGAAGTCCGCCATGTTGGTGGGCTTGAGCAGCGCCAGCTTGGCCGCCATGAGCTGCGCCTCGTCGTACAGCTCGCTGCTGGACAGGAAGTCGATGAGCGGGAACATGAAGTGCAGGTCCATGAAGGGCGCCAGGCGGTTCGTCAGGTCGAACTTGGCGTCGGGCGGCACGCTCACGCCCGGCGCGGCCGCGTCCGTCTCCTCGTGGCTACTCATGACTGGCTGCGTCTAGTGGCGTAGAGGGGGGAAGAGATAGAGAGAGGGGCGCGAGTCGGTCGGGAGCTGTCGCTGCTCCTGGGTGGCTCGCGGGAATGAGTGGCGATGGCTGGCAGCGACGAGTTTGGGGAGGGGCACGGTACTACATGTGGTACAGTGTACCCAGTGGATAAGTTTAAGGTGGACCACATGGATGTTGTTGGACGCAATTTTCATTGAACGCACAGCATGGCTTTTATTTATGCAACTTGACGGTACTTTTGAATTCGAGGTCTACGACGACGACGCGGGGCTGACGTTCCAGAAGCGCTGGGCGAAGTCCCCGATGCCCGGGCGGATTCGCTGCTGCTCGTCCAGCACGGTGTCTACCTGGGCGGTGACGAGCGACACATCTGCGGTGGGAATTAGAGAGGCAGCGTTAGTTTTTTTTTCAGACTCCAAGTCGGATGTTGAAGTGGACCCACCTGAGAAGTGCCGGAGCACGTTCTGGAGCCCCTCGAAGGCGCTGATCATCGTCGCGAAGTAGATATTCCTCGCAGGGATCTGCCTGTCGTGCACGAGGTGCTGCAGCACCGCGCACGCCTTCTCGCCAGCGGCACACTCGACGTCAAGTAGCAAAACGAACTGGTGTGGATTGATGGGCGGAAGATGCGCGAAAATGCGCCTCGAAGGAACGTTGAGTCCGCTGCTGCTGTTCTTCTTCTCCCTTTGTCTCTCCTCGATGGACACGACGCCGGTGGGCGATGCAGGACTCACGTCCGTGAACGCACGGAGCAGCACCATGCCCTCGTCTTCCATGGACAGAGCGTAGAAGTCGGACGCGTTCAGGGCTTTCATGGTCTCCATAGCTATTTGTGATCTCCTCCTCCTCATGGGGCAAGCACGTCAAGACCGCCGGAACTTGGTCGCAACTAAGTTCCGGCACGGGTACGAGTAGGTAGAAGCCTCGTGCACAAGAAACCGCTTCGCCACCACTGGACCATCCACCGCCATAGCATGGCTATGCGTGTCACGGCCGCGCCGTCGCGGGCCCGCTTCGTCTCGGAGAAGATTATGGTGATGCAGATGATTATGGTGTCGGATCGGGTCCTGCGGCGAGGTATCGAGGGGAGTGCTGGGCCACGACAGGCACTCGTCTCGACGCTGTTCAGCCTGTCTGGCCTGGAGTGGCGATGGGGTTTCAGCACGGTCAATGTCAGCTTGGATAGCAATGGAGGACACGCCCGGGGTGGCCGGCGACGGAATCGCTTCGGTCGCGATCGTGTGAGCTGCTGGGGACGCCTGCTGAGTGCTCGCCTTCTTGCGTGACCTCTTCGGGTGCGTGGCTGTCGGGTCCCGGACATCCCGCGTCAGCACTTCCCACCGGTTCTTGTACAGATTGCAGATCGCCGCTCGACTGACGTTGAACTCCTTCGCTAGCGCCACCTGCTTCTCGCCGGCTGTAACGTCGTAGGCTTTACTCTCTTGAAAGCGGAATGAAAAGTGTATTTAGCTTGGCTTAGTTCGGGTTTTCCTTCTTTGTTGCTGCTCTGTTGCAGACAGTCATTCTGAGTGTAAACCTAGCGTCATCTTAACCTGAACTAAAGTAAACACAGAGTAATCCTTCTAGGTGTCATCAACGGAGTTGTACTCCGTTGCACGACCCCACTTTAAAAACACGTTTACCCCTTGACCGAAGGGCAGTTGGAAGCGATATGCCCAACTTGCTTGCAACGATGACACGTCGCGGTTTCCATCCACTTGGCCGTGGTTGCTAGCGTGCTTCCTCCAGTGACCCCATGATCAAAGCGCAACGCGAGCTCGATGGTCTCTTCCAGCGTAGCGGGGTGATGTTCTCGGAGATGGTGGGACGTCTCCGATCGAAGAACCTGTTGAAAGTAGAATCGCAATTCCATGGGGGTGATGGTCACTTGGCATTGGATCAGGATATCTTGAAAGGCGCTCAGGTAGTCGTGCAGGGAGCCAATTTGCGTGAGTTTGCAGAGTTTCTCGCGCAGCATATACTCATTGTCCGGTGGCAGAAAACGTTTGCGCATAGCACCCTTGAACGTCTCCCAGGTTCGGACAATTTGGGCTCGATCACACTCGGCCACAAACTGCCGATACCAATTCATAGGCGTGGGTGCCAGGTAGCACGACACCATGGTGACGAACGCGGGGCTGTTCTCCACCATGATCGGGTGATAGTCGGCGTAGTATTGTTCGATCATGAAAAACCACAGCTCTAGGTCCTCATTGAGCGTGCCGTGGTCCTTGGGCGGCTCCGCCTTCCGGGCAGCAGGTGGCTTGCTAGTGATTGCTTCAAGACGCGCAGCTTGAGCAGCTATTTGCTCATTCATTCGTGCGTGAAATTGTTCTTGTTGTTGAGCAAAAAACTGCAACATCTCACTAAACGTTTGTGGCGCGTTGCTGGCGTCCATATTGGTGCGGCTCGATGGCTACACTTGGGTCGGCTCGATGGCTTCGTGACTCGATGGTCTGGACTCGGACTCGATGGTCTGGAACTTGGACTCGGTAGCTCGATGGCGCCGAGGACTTGACAACGACAAGTGCTACTATGTAACGTCATAGGCTTTACTCTCTTGAAAGCGGAATGAAAAGTGTATTTAGCTTGGCTTAGTTCGGGTTTTCCTTCTTTGTTGCTGCTCTTTTGCAGCCAGTCATTCTAAGAGTAAACCTAGCGTCATCTTAACCTGAACTAAAGTAAACACAGAGTAATCCTTCTCGGTGTCATCAACGGAGTTGTACTGTAACGGGGTACAATCAAGTGTACCCATTACATGAAGAGTGACGGGTGTCACTCTCCCGAGTACATGGTACATGGTACCAGTAGCTCCGCAAGCCAACCTTTTTGAGTTTGTGTGGGCTTTTGTATAGTTAACTTGTAGTTTGTATTACGACCAAGTTAACCTCTACCAAAATACAGTCAGTCTTATAACTTACTCCTTTGTAACAAACCGTTCCCTTTGAGGCCGGGAACTGGTGAACTGCTGTTCACCTGGATAGTAATATCCGCACGCACTTCCTCTGTGCATTGTGCTGTGTGACCCCGTCACACTTGGTAACACTCGTAATCAATCCTACGCCTACGCGGGTAGATTGGTCTACCTGAATCCTCGGTGGCTCAGGTCTGTGAGCCACGATGGACCGAAGTGAGTTTCCTCACTTGACTGACTCGCAGTTCGAGTCGGTGCGGAAGATGGTGGGCATCTTCGGAAGAGATGCCCTCCGGAGCTTGGCGGCGGCGACGCCAGCCGAGCAGGTCGAGCGGGTGAGCGCGTTTGACGAGTACGAACGCGGGCTCATCGCTCATGTGCAGGGAAACCTGCTGGCTCAGATGAGTGAGCCCAAACGGGTGCAGCCTAAGCCTCTGCGGCTAGCTGTGCCTCCGTTCGAAGGGAAGGAAGGTGAGAACCTTCACTTCTGGATCTGGGAGACCGAGATCGCAATGAGCGCAGGTCTCATCTCGGCCGAGAACCTTCGAGTCGCCTTCGCGCTCTCCAATCTTGGCGGACGTGCCAGGACTTGGGTATACGCGCGAAGCGATATCACCTGGATATTTCACATCCTGGGCTCAGCTGTGTGAGCAGCTTCGAGCCGCTTTTCTCCCGGCGAACAATGAGTTCCGCCAGCGCTCGCGCTTCCTTGCCTGCAAACAAGGGGAGCGCGAGCTGTACGCGTACGTACAGGAGATGCGCACGCTGGCAACCTCGCTGGTGGGGAACCCACTGTCGGAAGACGTCAAGATGACAGTCTTCGTGGACGGCCTGAAGGTCGGTCCTGCGCGCACGCAGTTTTCCGCGTGCGCACCGCCACTATGGAGGAGGCGATCCAAGTCGCCCTCCAGGAAGAGTACAGCCACAAGCAGGCTGGTGCTCTGGCTGTTGTACAGCCTGTGGTCGCTGACAGCGAACCAGAACCCATGGATCTGAGTTCGGCTGAGCAGTACTCAGCCCGCCTCTACGGATGCGGCGGACTAGGACACTATCAACGTGTCTGCCCATCGCCTGGGTCTGGGAAGAAGACCTACCCGAAGACCAGAGGGTCAAGGGGGCGCCGACGCCATGCACCGTCAGGTGCTCAAGGGGGACACAACCACCAGTAAGGATGAGGGCCTTGCTGGGGTAGGCCCGAGTCTTTGTGATGGGTGTACGGAAGGCGTACACCACAGAGACCCGGGGTCCCTTGCGAGCACTGACGCTCGCATTGGTGAAGGACAACGGTGGGTTGTCGGTAGTACACGTGAGTGTGCGGGGGTAATGATATCCCTAGACATGATTGAGTCTGGGACGTCGCGTGGATGTTCGCACGTCGCCAGATGTGTCGGTTGGAATAACGACACAAGTGCCGAGACTCTGCGAGAGAGTCTAAGCACAAGGTCAGGTCTCATTGACTGAGGCTGGGCCGAAGAAGAACCTTGGGGTCCGCTGTGACCCTGGCTGCCGCGCTCGAGGGCGCTGACAGCAATGGAACCGCACATGGTCCCGGACATGAAACCGTACATCGTCCCGGACATCGTGCCGAAGCCGGCCCTGGGCATGGAACCGTATATGCCCTCAGCTTGAGCAAGTATGACTTGGCCCTGAGTGCGCCGTGCAAGCTGCACAGGCTCTCGGTCGAGTAGCGCGACAACGCCTTGAGGCTAAGTCGGCCCTCTGTGTCTGACAGAGCATTGGTGAGTCATGTTCCCACCTCTGGACAGACACAAGGGCGTCCGATGGGACCGCCAGGGCGCTGGATGCGTCCGACAAGACGAAGAAGAAGAAGGGAGCATCATTGACATGCTGATCTCCATGAAGAAGGTGCAGTGTATCTGCAACCGAGGGCTGTTATGCCTGGCATGTGGAGCTGCCTCAACAAGCAACTCCAGTGCTGAGAGTCATTGCTCGGCATGAGCATTGACAAGGGTGGTGTTCGATGACACCACCAGGTGGGTAACCAAGGACCACTGACTAGCGGGTAACTTAGTTCCGCACAGAGCATGTAATGCTGAGGAGGCCGCTCAAAGCACCTCCGGCGTGGGTAACCAAGTACCACGGACGGTCGCCCAGACCTTAACTGAAGAGGAACGCGCTGCAGGCACTTCCTGTGTGGGTAACCCAGTTCCACACCAGGTCACTCAGACCTAAACTGATGAGGAAGGTGCACGATGCACTTCCTGTGTGGGTAACGTAGTTCCACACGATGCCGTAAGGCTCTGCATGAGCCGGAAGGAGTCGCTCGAAGCGACTTCAGCGTGGGTAACTTAGTTCCACGCACGTCAGTATGACCAAGACTAGTGATCAGGTCACTTGGGTCTCCTCGTGTGTGGTGGATGACCACACGGAGTTTAAGAGGCTCGTGACACCGTCACGATGTCATAGCCGCACGGTCCTCTTGAAGGCGCCGCACGGCTTTGATTTTAAGCGGAGGAGGAGTGCGCGGAAGCACTTCCTTCCTCCAAGGGCTTGGCACCCGGTCATCATGGATGATGTTCGACTGGGTGTCGACCAGCGCAGCTGTGACCATGCGCACAGAAGACGTGGCTTGGGTACACGACGTACCTGCGGCGATGCATGTTGCGTCGCCGCCGACTCGGCGAGCATGGTCGATCACGACTGGAACGTGTCTGCCGGAGGGCGACACCTCAATGACCACATGCAGGAGCATGCTCGGTCTAAAGGCAAAGGCCGCTGCGCGGCAGGGATCGTTGGTACGGTCTGTCGCGCCTAGCACTGTGCGGCGTTGGGACAACAAGTGTCCATGACTCGGTGCCGAGATGGCTGAGTCTGAGTATGTGTGCATGCCATGCAGCTACTCTGAATGCAGGACAAGCCGTACGCTGTCATGGGTGTCATTGCCCGAAGACGTGGGTAACAGAGTAACACGTCAAGTCACGCAGACTCAAACTGCATCCAGGCTGGTAGATGCCAAGCCCTGGTCGACGATGTTGACCCAGAGCCAAAGAAGGGTAGCTGCCCGTGCCACCGGAGTCTGCTGGCACGGTGACTCGGTGCTGCAGGGCGGCGCGAGGTTAGGCGGCCGGCTGGCGCCTGACCCGCCGGGGCTCAAATCGTAAGTGGGGGAGGGGATCGGAAGTGCCCTTCCTCCCGAGGTCTCTGACATGAGACTTGCTTCGTCGTAGAAGCCAGTGTAGTGGCTGCATGGTGTAGCCACTCACGAAGTATTGCACGAAGGTGCTGGACCTGATGCATCGCTGCTCAGGTCCCATGGTCATGGTGACCGATGGCCAGCAACCTTGGCAGCGGCTACTGTCGCTGCTGGGCCGAAGATGGCGCTCGCATTCGCTGCTGGAAGGCTGCCTCTGTCAGGCAAAGACATGGCAGCCAGTCTGCGGCTTGGTCCGCGGACGATGGCATGTGTACATACGCAACGCCATGCCGCAGCGTGATGCTGTTGCAACACTGGACGCGGTACGTCTACCGGCCAGGTAGCCATCAGCACCACGCCAAAGCTCCAGGCTGTTGCTACGCTGGGCGCGGCACGTCTGCCGGCCAGGTAGCTATCAGTCCCGAGCATGGGTGTTGCCCACGAGGGGAGAACCCGAACGTGTTGCCTTTGCAGACATTCACAGTTGGCGCGGCACATGCCGCACCTGTAAGGCGCGAAGCCATACGCGTGCACGTGGCACATACTACCTGTGAGATAGTCGCGGTGCGTGACGCTCACTGTGCGCGTGGCACTTGGTGTACGCGAGGTACCCCTAGTGCACGCGACACTACTTGTGCACGTGGCACTTGAGGTGCACGAGGCACTTATGGCAGTCGTGGTACGTGCCATACACGACGTGCCTTTGGTGTATGAGGTGGTGCCCTCGTACACCTTGAGGTCCTGTATGGACTGTGTGCCATGCGGTCTTGCACGCACACCGACCTGGTGTTGGTCGCCGCGACGCAGGATGCGATCGCCGGTGACGGAGGGCAATACACCCCACACCACGATGAAGTACCCTTGCGGTACCCTGGTGTCGAAGGAAGACACCTTAGCGTCGGCGACGTGATGGCCGTGACGCGCTGCAGGGCTTTAGACAAGTCCGCCGCGTTGCTCTGTATGATGAGCGGGTTGCTGGAAGCAGCCATGGTCGCTCAAGCAAACACGACGTTGAAGCATGACGCTTCATGGCTGTGGTCAGCGCTTGACCATAGCCCATGGGTCGAGCCGACGTATTCGGCCGACCGGCACATCGTGCTGTGACAAGCGGGGGCCTGTCGGGCCGCTGTCATGGCCGGAGATGAGCAGCACAGCTCTCTCCATGGTTACGCTACGCGCTGACCGGAAAGGTGCTGTCCCTCACGGGAGGCACTGCAGCACGAACGTGCCAGCGGGGCCCGAGGGCCATGCGACGCCAACTGCTGGTTGTCTACGAGGGACACCGCAAGTTTGGAGGCGCATGCATCCCGTGCCGAGGCACTCTGCGCCTGCTAGCGCTGTGAATACGGCCACTAAACGCGTCGGCTTCGCGGCCAACATCGCCGAGGGCAGGGGGGTTCCGCACGGGGTGCCCGCTGCGGGCACAAGTCACTGTGGGCGTGACGATGAGGCGCGCCGGCCTTGCGGCGGCAGCGCCCGAGAATCCGACCTTTGGGTGTTCGGATTCTCTCGAAGCTGATTGGAGAATCAGATGTGATTCTCAGATAAGTGGGGGAGGATGTAACGGGGTACAATCAAGTGTACACATTACATGAAGAGTGACGGGTGTCACTCTCCCGAGTACATGGTACATTGTACCAGTAGCTCCGCAAGCCAACCTTTTTGAGTTTGTGTGGGCTTTTGTATAGTTGACTTGTAGTTTGTATTACGACCAAGTTAACCTCTACCAAAATACAGTCAGTCTTATAACCTACTCCTTTGTAGCAAACCGTTCCCTTTGAGGCCGGGAACTGGTGAACTGCTGTTCACCTGGATAGTAATATCCGCACGCACTTCCTCTGTGCATTGTGCTGTGTGACCCCGTCACATGTACTCCGTTACACCGGCGTCGATGCGCGCAATGATCTCCTTGCGGTCGCCCTCGTACAGGTATCTCGACGTTCGTTCTCGACGCGGAGTAGTTGGAGACAACTCACCGTCAAAATACGACCGTGTCTCCCTGCTGGGTGCTACACCAACTTGAGAAGACAGCAGCGAGGAAAGCAAATGTCCATCTGTCACGCGTCGCTCTTGGTAGAATTGATCATCTGGCCTTGGGAACGCATTCGTCATTGTGTCTACCGATGGCGAGGACTGCTTTCGCTTGTGCAGCTGGCTTTCAAAATGGCGAGTCAACGCCGAAATGGCGATTTCAATGTTGGTGCCGGGGCTGGCGACGGTACCAGTGGGGGTCGGCTGCAAGTAGGACGAGAGCTGGGGGAGTGCAGATGGAGAGGAGTCCATAGTTTGGTCTGTCATGTTCTAGTCGTACGTTGTCGCGGGAAGGGCGTTAATTGAGAAGTGAGCGAGTGAGTGAGGCAGGGCGGTGCCTCCTCCTCTTTCGCGTGTCCGGGTTCTTGTCCGTCGCTGAGGGAACGAACAACTGGCTCGGCGCCTCGTCCACCTGCATGCTGCCGGTGCAGGTTAACCATCCGCTGTTGACTGGAGACAGCATTGCATCCGTTTGCTCCTTCAGTCTCGTTTTGGCGCCGATGCGTGGGCGGTGACCGAGTTCCTTCCCGCCATTTGCAAGGGCATTCGCTCGCGGAGTGTGCATGATGTTCATCACGGACGCGTTTCTGCAGGAGAGGTCTGGGCTGTCTCAACGCGGTCGTGTTCATCAACCTCGCGCCTTGACGCCTGCAGACAGAGATGCCGGACACCTTGAAGTTTTTCACCTAACGATTGTGCTGTCACCTCGCCCTCACAATTCCCCACTTGATTCCTGCACATGAGAGTTGGTACACTCACTCACATGTGAAGGCAACCGGGATATCGTCGGCAAGGTGTACGTATCTGAAGTTTCATCGCTACGTGCCTTCATGCAGGAATACATGCAACAGGCATTTTCGGTGGTGGACCCGTCAACTTGTTAGTACAACACCGTTCGTCCGACCCTCTTTCGCTGCGCGTATACCTTTCCCTACAGTCGCGCCTGGTGCTGCTGCAGCAGGAGGTCCGCGAAGGGCTGCAGCTTCATGGCCATCTTGAGGTTGCCCTGCAGGCGCAGCTTCTTCCGGATGAGCGCCTGCTGCAATCGCAGCCGACCCGCCGCCAGGTCCAGGAAGTCCTGCTCGTCCATGTGGATTTGCAGGTCGGGCGCGAGGCGCGGGTTGCGTCCTTCCAGCAGGGTGCCCTTGCCGTGCAGCAGCGTGATCGTCCAGACTTCCTTGTTGATGTGCCATTCCAGCACGCCCGAGATCTGCTTGCTGAGAGCGTGACCCTTCTCCTGCAGCGTAGCTCGCAGGCGGTCGAACACCTCCGCACACTCACTCGATCGAGACGTCGTCAGAGACTTCGGTGGCGCGGTCACGTTGCGCATCATGGGCTCGAACGAGTCCTGGGTGGACGTCGGGTGAGTCACGCGGCTGAAGTCGACGACATCACGCCACTGTTCGGCCACGAGCTCCGGCGTGAACTGCTTCGGGTCAGTGGGGAAGCCGACGCCGTGCGTACGCTGCAGACGCAAAGCCCCCACCCAGCCTCCACCCAGCTCGAACAGCTCGCCGTTGTCCTTGCACGACGAGTGGCACAGATACACGATAATCGGCGACGTCAGCTCCGGGGTCAGCTCCGTGTAGACGTCCTCGGGCCACACTGGCTGGGTAAGGCGCGTGCCGGCCACGGGGGACACTGCATTGACAGCGATGTTGTACTTAATGCCTATACACAGCAACGACGCCAGCAACACACAACATCGTCAGACTCTTCTAGACTTGAGCCACGACCCCCAGCAGCAGCAACAACCTTCGCGGTTCAGCGCGACGGTGAAGCCCACGAGTCCCATCTTCATGGCGGCGTAGTTGACCTGGCCGAAGTTCCCGTAGAGCCCAGCGCCCGACACGCAGTTGAGGATGCGGCCGTACTTCTGCTGGCGCATGATGGGCCAAACCGCCTGCGTCACGCTGAACGTGCCCAGCAGACTCGAGCGGTACACGTCGTCCCTGCACCAAACAGCAAGCGTCAGCCAATTTCCCGTCTCTCAGTACTACACAAGGTAGTATGTACCAGTGCTCCAGCGTCATCTTGCGGAAGGACCCGTCGCGGATAACCGTGGCGTTCTACAGTACAAAAGCACAACCCCCCGTCACTCCACGTCCCCCCGAGAGCACAACGAAAGCTGCTGATGCCCCATACATTGATCAAGATGTCGACGCGCTTGAAGTTCTCCATGGCCGTCTTGACGATCTCGGCGCCGTCCGTGACGCTGTTCCGGTCGCCCACCGCCACGCCCCCTCGGCTGCGGATGGCCTGCACCACGCCCTCCACCAGCGACGCGTCGGCGTCGTTGTCGTTCACCACCACGCGCACCCCGCGCGCCGCCAGCGCCTGCGCCCACGCACGGCCGAGTCCGCGCCCCGCGCCCGTCACGATCGCCACCTGCGCCGAGTCCCCGCTCCCGAACGACAGCATCTCGAGCCCTGTCCTGCCGACGCTTCCTCTCGCCTTGTGCCGCCCCAAGTTGAAGATTTCCGGCGAGTGGTACACGTAAACAGTCGTGTGGAATACACATATTTGTGTTGAAGCGGTGTGCAGTTTTGGCTGGAAGAGCTATTTTTAGCTCCCGCCAAGGCCCAAGTACGTAGGTCTAGGGCTGTTTCGTGCACCAGTTTCGGTAGGGTTATGCCTGTAATTTCAAGAGCTTTAATCGTACTTAGTAGAGAAACGAAAGTGTTGTCTCAATGGGCTATCCCCGTAATAAAGGTCTGATGAATCTGCACGAAAGTACTTTCGTGCACTTTCGAGCACTGCACGAAACAGCCCTACGTAGGTCACTTGGTCAACGGCTGCAACGATGGCGGCGGCGCTGATCCACGCCGAGTTCGGGGACGACTGCGATCTGTACGCGGTGCTGGGCGTGGAGCGCTCGGCCACGGACAAGGAGATCACGCGCGCCTACCGCAAGCTGGCTCTGAAATACGTAAGATACTTTTCAGTTGAGCTGAGTTGAGTTGAAGCGCGAGGCACTTGTGCTGACGTGTCTGTCGCCCTGTTGCTGCTTGCTGCCTTCAGCACCCGGACAAGCAGCGAGGCGATGAGGCTGCGCGCGCCAAGGCGACGGCCAAGTTCCAGGCCGTAAGCGCCATCCACTCGATCCTGAGCGACAAGGAGGCGCGCGCCGTGTACGACGAGTCCGGCACGATCCTGTCGGACGACCACGACGACAAGTCCCCGTCCTTCCAGATGTGGACGCAGTACTTCGCGCGCGTGTTCCCCAAGGTCACCACAGAGGACATCGCCAGGTTCGAGGGCGAGTACCGCCACTCGGACGAGGAGCGGCGCGACGTGCTGGACGCGTACACCAAGTACGAGGGCAAGATGAAGCACGTCATGGACACGATCATGTTGTCCACGGACGACGACGAAGAGCGGTTCGCGGAGATGATCCAGAAGGCCGTCAAGGAGAAGGAGGTCAAGGCCTTCCCCACGTGGTGCGAGTACAGTAAGGAGCAGTCGAAGAAGAAGAAAAGGAAAGAGACGCCGGCCGAGCAGAAGCGCAAGCAAGCGAAGCGCGAGAAGGAGGCGCGTGAGGCGGAAGAGCTGTTCAACAAGATCCGAGGCAACCAGCAGAAGCGGGGCGAAGGTTCAGGCAGCACTGCGCTTAGTACCGAACGGTAATGGAGGTGTCACCCTTGCTGTATCATTTGAGGGACGGATGACACTGACGTTAAATGTGTTGGTGCGAGCAGAAAGCGCGGGTTCGAATCACTGCTTGGGAATCTGGAGGCCAAATACGCCGAGAAGGGCAAGAAGTCGAAGCGCAAGGCTGCACCGCAAGACCCAGGCGAGCCCAGCGAGGAGGAGTTCCTCGCCGCGCAGAAGCGGTTGAAGCCAAGCAGGAAGAAATAAGGCAGCGGCGGATGACCATTAAATTGGTGGACTGCAGTGTGGATTCAGGAACTATGGTCATCCAATAGCTTCAATTAGAAAATTTCATTGCACTACTGCACCAGCTGCCAACTTCTTGTTGTGTACATTGGAGGCTACGGATGAACAAGCGCTTACTATTTATTTATCCCTTGAACTCAGTAAAGGCCGTGGCCGTGGGGGTGTCCGGGGCAGCGGTCTCGCTCACCTCCACCGCTACCGGAATCGGCTCGCCGTTCTCCATCGGGACGCTCACGTACTGCCCGCTCGCCTCGCACGAAGCATCGTAGCCAGCGTACACTAGCAACGCGTCTTCCTCACGCGAGACCACGTGCTCGTCGTAGTCGCGGGCCTGGTAGTCCACATGCACGAACGCGCGCTCCACCTCCTCCAGGTTCTCCACCTTGAACTGCATCTGAAGGGCGATATCGTGCGCCAGCTTCACCGACATCTCGCCGGGAACAACAACTTCGAGCTCCACGAGGTACTTGGAGCCAAAGTGGTAAGCGCGCACGATGTCCAGCGACATCGACGGGTGGTGGCGATTGCAAAGGTCCTTCACTTCCTCGATGAACTCCTCGCTGGCGCACACGCCGACGAGCTGCGTGACCTGTTCCCACGCCATTTTGCCCCAGGCCACCATGATGTAGACGAAAATGAGGATGGCTCCAGCAGGATCGACGTACCAGGCCTTCGGCTCGACAGCGGCGATGATGTACGCCGCAACGGCGAACGAGTTGCTCAGGGTGTCGTTGAGGTTGTCCTGGTGAATGGCCTCGACCGCCACCGAGACTGTGGACTTGAGGATCCAGGCCGAGTAGAACATGAGGCCGATCTTCACGACCACGGCCGTGACAGCAATGGCGATCGCCGCAGCCGAGAGGTGCGGCGCCTCGGGTTCATCCGACGAGAAGCCGTCGACGAGCTTCTTCACAGCTTCCTGGATGAAGACGATCGACGCCAGCACCATCACGCTGGCCGCCACAATGATGGCCACGGGCTCGAAGCGCGACGTGCCGGCCGGGTACTTGGCGTAGTCCTGCTTCTTGCCGGAGCGCGTGCCGGCGTACCAGAGCAGGCCCTGGACGAAGAGGTCGACCATGTTCTCCACGAGCGCCGAGATGAGCGCGAGCGAGTTGCTGGCGATGGCGACCGAGGTCATCACAATGACGATAAGAATGTTCGTGCAGAGCGAAGCCTTGAGCACCACCGCCACATGGTCCAGCGGCTCCTCCCCGCGCAGCACGCGCTGCAGCGTGGCGAAGTGCGCGCTCAGCGCCTTCCGCGGCGAGCTGGTCGTCGGTGACATCGGCCGAGCAGTGGGGCTCTGCATCTCTCTCGAGCTTGAGTGGACGAGGTCGCCTTGGGCTGGACTGGGTGCACTTGCCGTCTTCGGAGAGACTTGAAGAATGGGATCAAACCACAGGAATGGAGGAGCTCGCTCGCGCGGTCGATTAATCGACAGGATTCCGCTGCGCGCGTGCCTCCAATCTGGACGCCCGGGTTCTGGCCGGGCTGTCGGCTCTAGGCGCAACGAAGTGAACTGTGCTTGCAATGCGGGGCTCACCCACGCTGATGAGCAGTCCGTACTTCCGCAAACATTCTGACCGCGCTGCCGAGATTCACATCACCTCGCTGTTGTACATGTAGCCAACATACATACCAACTACATGCGGTACGAGGGCTCACACTTGACATGGCGGCAATGCGCCTGCGATCGAATACTCCATGAAGAAGCCTGGTACGTGTACAGCTTCACAACATGACTTACCTGGTATTGGAAAGCTTCGTGCTAGGATATCGTCGGCTCTCCTAATGTACTGTACTGTGCTGTAGGTATTCATCTTACGAATTTCTGATGATCTGCGCTGCTTGTCTCATGGTTTCTCCCGGTCGCCGAGCAGGAGTGTACTGTACAGTACTTGTATCCCTGCATCTTGCTTCAGAAAGTGTCTTCCTAGCTAAAAACACTACTGTTATACGACGGTAAGCGCGAGTTTGGATACACTCCGCATGTGACTCGGTTGCAACTTACATCAACCGCAGTTTTTTTTCGTGCATTGTCACTTACATTCTAGTAGCTTACTACAAAAGTATTACATTCGTTGATACCCAATTCGTGAGCAACATACTAATATATTAACAACTCTTGTGTCCAAGATCTCGTCTACTATATAGACCATTACTACAGTAGTATTTTGGAGCAATTCTTGATGGTCGACCTTCAAAGTGCTACAGCGGATGAGGTGCTACGCGCTATCCGCGAAATTGCAACCCTCAATCAAAGTAAAAAGCGCATACGTTGGCTGCCTGCATCACTTCCTGGGCGCTTGTTAAAGGCTCGCCGTACTTGAGATCTCGCCAACCTAACGTTGTTTACGCTCGGCGTATTCCACGTTCGCAGTGTATTGGGTGCTGCTCTTTCCTCGGCATCGTCGTTTCGCGCCGTGTTTGCCTTGATCTCATTGTTCTCACCGCCCTCAATGAACATGATGTGCTCCTTAGTCTCTCCGCCGTTATCCATGCTCTCTGCGCATCTAACATAGTATTTTCGCTCGACCCCACGCTACGTATCCTTCTGGCATAAAAGTGATGTCCAGTGATGAACCACAAATACAGATGAGTGCATGTGATCCATAAGCAAGTGGTCTCAGGTTTGTCCGAGCTGTCTACGCCTTGTATGGCATGGGCCATGCAGTTGAGTGAAGTGAAGACACGCCACGCCACCAAATAGCGAAGAGCAGGTAGTAGATCGGGTTGCTGGAAACGTGCAGGATGAAAACAAAAGGGCAGAATACAGGAGGCCGGCGTCGAAAAGCTCCGCAGGACGAACTACCCGCTTTTTCTCACGGAAGCAGAAGCACGCATTAGTAGTAGTCATTACTAATACATACGTCAAAGTTTATGATACTTCTGTAGTTACTTTAGCATTATATTATTTACTCATGTATATAACAATATTTTGTAATATTGTTGTATATCATATTATTATAATGCATATGGTATACTATCGCCTCAGAACTAAATACTAATACTAATTTCTCCTGCTTGAAGAAGACCAAGGCTGTAATACGCTCTGCAAAATTTAGAGAAAAATATTAGAAACACCGCAAAATGAAAGGTGAGTGAAGAGGATGACGACAGGAGTAGACTTCATAATTCTTATCTAGCGCTATAGTAACCTCGTTCATTGAGGTAAGTGCGTGCAGGCAGAAATGGTGTCGGTGACAGTCACATGTGGGCTTCTACGCACGCCAGGGGAAGCTTTCTTCTCAATCTGTATCGACGACGAGAAGTCAGTCGGGATTTCGTTTTACGCGATTGCTCCAGCCAAAGCAACAGACTTTCCGTTCAACCAACGTCTGCATCCGTTAATCCCGACTACGTGTTGTACATCAACCCGGTGTGTGTTTTCCGGGGTGAAGAGGAGGGATCGCAGATGATTCGCGTGGGAATCCGTTTGATCAATTGCCGTGGACACATGGAGACGTGCCGTATTCGCTAGGATACGCTGCAACTGGTTCGTTCGCCTCCTTGTACGCGATTGCACGTGCGGCGGCGGAGGGGAACGAAACCCGCAACATCGTCTGGCTTCCTTCTACCTTGCGGTCCCAATGTCTCGCTTGAAGATGTTGTTGGCAATGCTACAGATCTGCCGCCTTCTACCAAGTATTGCCAGTTCATGCCCAACGAGTGGTCGAGACGAGTACAGACTCCTGTATCGACCCAGCGGTATCGAGATCTTCCTCGAGCCTGCTCATGTTACGAAAACCTACCCAGCCCATCAATATGAACTAGCAAAACAGCAAGCAGGGACCGTCTACGAAGTACTCCGAGTACGGTGCTCCACAGTGGAGCACGTCGATCTGCTAACGACGCCACGTGTAGCCTGGTCTTCGGTCCTCGAGGAAGCAGCGTCAAGCCATCCACGCTAGCGGAAGTATTTTGCGCCACCCGTGATATTCTGGAAGCTTTGGTGAAGCTGCACTCGATTTCGTGGATGCACCGAGACATTCGATGGTCCAATGTGGTGAAAATCTGTGGCAACAATTCCGAGTCGTGGTTTCTGATTGACTTCATGGAGTCCTCAAGACGCTGAAAGTGCAAAACACTTGTCGCGTTCTATTCACGCTCCGGAAATGTTTACAGAGCCTACCCACACAACTGCTGTGGATGTCTGGTCTGTAGGTCGTTTGCTCAAGTCCGTAGGAGATATTTGGGGAGATTCAGGCGACAGGGATGCATTCGTGCGGGAATTGATGCATGAACTGCAGTCGCAAAGACCAACTGCTAAGAAAGCTCTTGCAAGGCTGAAGGAGCTTGGACAACAATACATCGGGACATGGAGTGACGAGCCGGAGGCTAGCGAAGAAATGTGAAACTTCCCTTAGGTAAACAATGTGTGAACACTCCAGATAAGTCAGATATGTTTTTTTGCTTTACGGAAAACTGATTGACTGAGGTGGACTTGACCTCTGAAAACGCCACTAGCTATTTTCTACGTTAAACGGATTGACTGAGGTGGACTTGACCTCAGGAGATGGTGTAGTTAGTCTCTTATACCCCAAACAGCCAAGTGATGACAACTTGTGTGGATCTCGCGTTGCGCCAGTGTCCCGATCTGGAGAGCCTCGAGCGCACCAGAACGATCTCTACGTTTCTTGGCCCACCACCAAGCCTGTTACTAAGCGAGGCTTGTAGGTCTGGGACCGTTGCGACGTTGGACTGGATTTGGGCCGCTAGCTGTACGTCTGTCGAAAAGAGGACACCAGGATGGGCGCTCACGAATTATCTCCGCTCCGACCAGCGGTACTACCGTTGGCAGTTCGCCAAATCCCTGCTTGCAGCCACCGAACGAGGTGACATGGAGATCATTGAGTGGCTGTTTGCGCACTTCTTCGGCTGCGAAGTGTCTGAGTAAAAAAGGTAACCGCTATTAGCGGTTACCTTTTTTACTACCCTTAGTTCACCCTGACCGGAACTTTTACCCGGAACTATTTCTTTGTGAAAGAGCGCATGTTTTCACTAACCTGAGAATAACCCGGAGAAAATATATTTTGCTTAGTTTAAGAAGAGCATATCTATCGTGTACATCGCAAACTACTCAATCAAACTATTGTTATCCACTTCTTACGCAAAACTATAGTTATCCGCTGCGTTCTCGCATGGGAAGGCCCCATGGGGATACTGCTAATCAGCACATAAGCTCGTTCTTGGCCGTGATGTTTTCCTCGAAACCGGCAATGTCCTCCTTCATCACAAGGCCGGACGTGATGAAGAAGAGCACGACAACATCGGTGGCCAGACGCATGGTCATGAGTCCCCACTGAGCCATGTTCCGTGGGACGCGTAATGCGGGTCGCCTACTGTCTCCATGCACATGTGATTGTCCATGTTGGTGTGGTAGGTGCCGTACACCGCGCTGCTCAGGTTAGCCGAGGCCATGCTGAGGTGGAGGTAGGACAGTATGAAGTCCGAACCAGCGCCCATGAAGTGGATCAAGTGCCAGGGTGCCGTTGTACTGCGAGCGGTGACGTGCAGTCTGGGTTACATTCTGAGCCGCTCCGCTGTGACCTCTCATAAGCAGCTTATCGTCTGGTATGACGAGAAAGCGTTGGAGATGTTACTGTTTCTGCAAGTCACGTACCCGAGCATCTTCACTCCAAAATTCCTTAAAGAACTTCGGGGCGATTTTTCAGATCCCCTTTTCCCAAAAAAAACGCAAACGGCCGAAATCATTCGGAGTTGGCTCGACGAAAACTATCCCAGCGCCATAGCGAACAGAAGCCCGTGAAAAGGTTTGAACTGCGACTAAGATGCTGAGCTCCTCTCTAACCTGCTGATTGCTTTTGCTTTAAGGGTTTCCAATGCATGTGTTAATTTCCAGCTTATAGCTTGCTCGTTCACACGAACCATTTGAAGGTTTCGACTAAAGTCGTGTTGGAAGGGAGAGGTATACACACTTCAGGGTTGAGTCGCGGATTTTTATAAGAGCGTCAAGCTGAGACTCAACCTTGTATGCAATTCAGACGATATCAGCTAGATGGCTAGCGGCGTTAAACTGTCATTTACGAGGATCCAAGTGGCTGTGTTCATACCCGTTGGATGAAGCCACGGCTAATGGACAGACGTACGGCTAATGATTCTGCAAATGGACACCTCGACGTTGCCAATGGCGCTCTACTAACCAATCGGAGAGCTGCCCGACCAGAACAATCCAGTACGAGTACGCTGGAAATGACCGCCTTCATGTCTTGCAAGGATACTACAACGCAATGATGTGAATTCTGGATGAAAAAAAACAGTTTTTCCGGATAAAAGATCATTTTTTTAATTGATTGATCGTATTGCCCTTGTTCTCCACAACAGCGCTGCCAGGCTCGGGCGGGAAGTAGCCCTGCGGGTACGTGGCATCCCCGCCTGAAGAAGACTCGATGGCAGTCGTGGCAGTCGGCTGCCTGGCATACGCACCCGAGCTAGCAGCGTGGTATTGCTGCTGCTGCTCGTCGAGGTTGTTGGAGAGCTCCTTGGGCTCGTGGACGGCACCCTCCTCGTCCTCAGACTCCGAGTCGATGAACAGCTTGGAGCTGGAGCCGCGAGGCGACCTGGAAGCTGAACGCTTCTTCGCCTTGGTCTCGGCGGCCTTCGCAGCGGCAGCCGCTTTTGACGCTTGGGCACGCTCACGACCTTGTGCCAGCGTCAGATGCTTGGATGCCAGCACCTCCTTGGGCTTGGAGCCCGCGTCGCTCGGCGACTTCTCGGCCACGACCCCAGCGTCGGCCATGGCGACTTCGTCGTGCGACTGCTTGCTGTCGCCTGAGCCGGACTCGGCGTCCTCCGCCTCCTTCTCTGACGAGGCCTTTGCGTCGGCCGAGGCGTTGGTCATGTCGCCTGCCGCCAGCTCCGTGCCTTCGGCAGCGTGCGTGCTGCCCTCCGAGACGTTCTCGTCGTCGGGTGAACTCTCACCGGAGTACTGGACCATCGTGCAGTCAAAGACGGCGGCTTCCCAGTCGCGAGCCGGGCTTTTATGGCCCTGAGGACTCTCCTCCTTGCCTTGCGCGGCGTCAGGAGACTTGCTCCGAGCCCCGGCCTGACGGCCACTCTCCGGTGTGCTGCTACGAGAGCGCACCACCTCCTCGGCCGCCTTCGTGGCCTCCATCAGCGCGGACGACTCGTCCTTGGTCTTGGCCGCCCTGGTCTTCGGCCCTACGGCCCGCGGTTTCGGAGGTGCTTTCGCACTGCGCGCACTGCGCTTTGGAGGCATGCTTCCGGTCGACGTGGACACCCTGCGGCTTGCTCGGCGATACGCCAGTTGCTCTGTGAGGCCTGGGAGCCGAGGCGCCAGAGCTCGCGCCGTTGTCGATGGATTTCGACTTTGCGAGTGAAATGTGAGTCGCCGGCGTAACCTCGCTCTGATTGGTCGATAAGATCGAATCTAAGTGGGGGAGGATGTAACGGGGTTACATGGAATAGTGACCCTGTCACTATTCCGGGATAACTACATCGGTCACTCCCCTGGATAGTGACCCAAGTGGCCTCAGAGCCAACAGATACATTTTGTATGACACAAACTATAGGGAACTTAGGATTTGTATGCAGGCCAAATCTGTACCAATCTATAAATACATTCAGTCTTAGATCTACCGCTTTTCAAGTCAAGTCGTCCCCTTCAGACCAGGGACACGTGAACGGCTGTTCACTTGGAGTTTGTATACTCCTGCTTCCTCTGTTAAGAAGTGCTGTGTGCCCCGTCACACGGTGCAAGCTGCACAGGCTCTCGGTCGAGTAGCGCGACAACGCCTTGAGGCTAAGTCGGCCCTCTGTGTCTGACAGAGCATTGGTGAGTCATGTTCCCACCTCTGGACAGACACAAGGGCGTCCGATGGGACCGCCAGGGCGCTGGATGCGTCCGACAAGACGAAGAAGAAGAAGGGAGCATCATTGACATGCTGATCTCCATGAAGAAGGTGCAGTGTATCTGCAACCGAGGGCTGTTATGCCTGGCATGTGGAGCTGCCTCAACAAGCAACTCCAGTGCTGAGAGTCATTGCTCGGCATGAGCATTGACAAGGGTGGTGTTCGATGACACCACCAGGTGGGTAACCAAGGACCACTGACTAGCGGGTAACTTAGTTCCGCACAGAGCATGTAATGCTGAGGAGGCCGCTCAAGGCACCTCCGGCGTGGGTAACCAAGTACCACGGACGGTCGCCCAGACCTTAACTGAAGAGGAAGGCGCTGCAGGCACTTCCTGTGTGGGTAACCTAGTTCCACACCAGGTCGCTCAGACCTAAACTGATGAGGAAGGTGCACGATGCACTTCCTGTGTGGGTAACGTAGTTCCACACGATGCCGTAAGGCTCTGCATGAGCCGGAGCCTTCCACGCACGGTCTGTATGACCAAGACTAGTGATCAGGTCACTTGGGTCTCCTCGTGTGTGGTGGATGACCACACGGAGTTTAAGAGGCTCGTGACACCGTCACGATGTCATTGCCGCACGGTCCTCTTGAAGGCACCGCGCGGCTTTGATTTTAAGCGGAGGAGGAGTGCGCGGAAGCACTTCCTTCCTCCAAGGGCTTGGCACCCGGTCATCATGGATGACGTTCGACTGGGTGTCGACCAGCGCAGCTGTGGCCATGCGCACAGAAGACGTGGCTTGGGTACACGACGTACCTGCGGCGATGCATGTTGCGTCGCCGCCGACTCGGCGAGCATGGTCGATCACGACTGGAACGTGTCTGCCGGAGGGCGACACCTCAATGACCACATGCAGGAGCATGCTCGGTCTAAAGGCAAAGGCCGCTGCGCGGCAGGGATCGTTGGTACGGTCTGTCGCGCCTAGCACTGTGCGGCGTTGGGACAACAAGTGTCCATGACTCGGTGCCGAGATGGCTGAGTCTGAGTATGTGTGCATGCCATGCAGCTACTCTGAATGCAGGACAAGCCGTACGCTGTCATGGGTGTCATTGCCCGAAGACGTGGGTAACAGAGTAACACGTCAAGTCACGCAGACTCAAACTGCATCCAGGCTGGTAGATGCCAAGCCCTGGTCGACGATGTTGACCCAGAGCCAAAGAAGGGTAGCTGCCCGTGCCACCGGAGTCTGCTGGCACGGTGACTCGGTGCTGCAGGGCGGTGCGAGGTTAGGCGGCCGGCTGGCGCCTGACCCACCGGGGCTCAAATCGTAAGTGGGGGAGGGGATCGGAAGTGCCCTTCCTCCCGAGGTCTCTGGCATGAGACTTGCTTCGTCGTAGAAGCCAGTGTAGTGGCTGCATCGTGTAGCCACTCACGAAGTATTGCACGAAGGTGCTGGGCCTGATGCATCGCTGCTCAGGTCCCATGGTCATGGTGACCGATGGCCAGCAACCTTGGCAGCGTCTACTGTCGCTGCTGGGCCGAAGATGGCGCTCGCATTCGCTGCTGGAAGGCTGCCTCTGTCAGGCAAAGACATGGCAGCCAGTCTGCGGCTTGGTCCGCGGACGATGGCATGTGTACATACGCAACACCATGCCGCAGCGTGATGCTGTTGCAACACTGGACGCGGTACGTCTACCGGCCAGGTAGCCATCAGCACCACGCCAAAGCTCCAGGCTGTTGCTACGCTGGGCGAAGCACGTCTGCCGGCCAGGTAGCTATCAGTCCCGAGCATGGGTGTTGCCCACGAGGGGGAGAACCCGAACGTGTTGCCTTTGCAGACATTCACAGTTGGCGCGGCACATGCCGCACCTGTAAGGCGCGAAGCCATACGCGTGCACGTGGCACATACTACCTGTGAGATAGTCGCGGTGCGTGACGCTCACTGTGCGCGTGGCACTTGGTGTACGCGAGGTACCCCTAGTGCACACGACACTACTTGTGCACGTGGCACTTGAGGTGTACGAGGCACTTATGGCAGTCGTGGTACGTGCCATACACGACGTGCCTTTGGTGTATGAGGTGGTGCCCTCGTACACCTTGAGGTCCTGTATGGACTGTGTGCCATGCGGTCTTGCACGCACACCGACCTGGTGTTGGTCGCCGCGACGCAGGATGCGATCGCCGGTGACGGAGGGCAATACACCCCACACCACGATGAAGTACCCTTGCGGTACCCTGGTGTCGAAGGAAGACACCTTAGCGTCGGCGACGTGATGGCCGTGACGCGCTGCAGGGCTTTAGACAAGTCCGCCGCGTTGCTCTGTATGATGGGCGGGTTGCTGGAAGCAGCCATGGTCGCTCAAGCAAACACGACGTTGAAGCATGACGCTTCATGGCTGTGGTCAGCGCTTGACCATAGCCCATGGGTCGAGCCGACGTATTCGGCCGACCGGCACACCGTGCTGTGACAAGCGGGGGCCTGTCGGGCCGCTGTCATGGCCGGAGATGAGCAGCACAGCTCTCTCCATGGTTACGCTACGCGCTGACCGGAAAGGTGCTGTCCCTCGCGGGAGGCACTGCAGCACGAACGTGCCAGCGGGGCCCGAGGGCCATGCAACGCCAACTGCGGGTTGTCTACGAGGGACACCGCAAGTTTGGAGCCACATGCATCCCGTGCCGAGGCACTCTGCGCCTGCTAGCGCTGTGAATACGGCCACTAAACGCGTCGGCTTCGCGGCCAACATCGCCGAGGGCAGGGGGGTTCCGCGCGGGGTGCCCGCTGCGGGCACAAGTCACTGTGGGCATGACGATGAGGCGCGCCAGCCTTGCGGCGGCAGCGCCCGAGAATCCGACCTTTGGGTGTTCGGATTCTCTCGAAGCTAATTGGAGAATCAGATGTGATTCTCAGATAAGTGGGGGAGGATGTAACGGGGTACAATCAAGTGTACACATTACATGAAGAGTGACGGGTGTCACTCTCCCGAGTACATGGTACATTGTACCAGTAGCTCCGCAAGCCAACCTTTTTGAGTTTGTGTGGGCTTTTGTATAGTTGACTTGTAGTTTGTATTACGACCAAGTTAACCTCTACCAAAATACAGTCAGTCTTATAACCTACTCCTTTGTAGCAAACCGTTCCCTTTGAGGCCGGGAACTGGTGAACTGCTGTTCACCTGGATAGTAATATCCGCACGCACTTCCTCTGTGCATTGTGCTGTGTGACCCCGTCACATAACTGGCATCGTTATCTAAGTTTCCCGGTAGCAAACGACCAGATATTGATAGCGAAGATGCAGGTTAAATATCGCGTTGGTGTCAATACGAAAACGATGTGTAGTAGCGGAAAACACTACAAATCCTGGTTGCACTTCGTTTCTGTGGGATGTGCCTGTTTTCCGTTTATGAAATGCCAGGTGAATTTCAATCCAAGATAAAACTAACTATTGCCAAAGCATACCGGTATGCTTGCATCCTGTCTACGGGTATGCATTAGACCTGGGGAGGAAAGGTTAAGGTGCTCAAAAAGGTTGAAACTGCCGCGATTGGCAAGATTCAACGGATTTTTCAAAGTCGGTTTTTCGTCCATTGCGAGAAAACGGTGACAGCTTTTTCAATGTGGATTGTTGCATTTTCCTATATTTTAGACGAATCATGAGCACACTGGTTAAAAAAATCGATTTTTCGAGTCCAGCTATAATTTCGGCGCGCACTGTACTGCCGCACGAACGATATGGACACCTTCCTGCAGTTGGGCGGGGATCCGAACCTCGTGTACGATGACGATCTGGTCGTGGGTGAGCCGGTGGACTTGGAGGCGCAGATTCAGCGGCACATTGCGGAGACGAGTCAGGCCGATGCGTTGTTTAGCGACCAGCTCTATCGCCCCGTAAACGACGACGTGGAGGAGGAGAGGGACGAGGGCGGGACCAACTTCTCACCTCTCGAGTCGGACGAACTGGAGCGCCATCGTTATCTGCAGCGCATCCTGTCCATTGAGAGGGGGATGCAGGAGGCGGACAGCGAGGTGCAGCAGCGGATCGACACCATGAAGCGCATCCTGGAGCTCAAAGACCCCATGGAGCAGCTCTCCGAGTACCTGGCGCTGAAGCAGGAGGCCCGGCGGGAGGACGACGTGGACATCGTGGAGGATCTATTGCACTGCGCCAAGCGCATGACGAACGAGCAAGACACCGAAGTGGCTATGCTGGGGGCTTTCTTCTTCCTGTGCGACAGGCAACGATCCAAGGCACGAGGGATGACAGCGATGCTGCCTGTTGTGGCGGCGATGATGGAAGCAGCCAATGGGATGGACCACCCGCCATTTTAACTAAGCATGCGTGCTTCAGTTGCTGACAAAGGGAGACGTTAGTGTTTATTATGGAGCCTATCGTGCTACGACCCCCACTGGAAGAAATCGCATTGGCTTCCCTGCGGATTCGGGCACTTGTAAAATGTCCGCCCCTTGTTCACTCCATTCCTGCATGTGAGCAAGACGCCTGGTAAGCCGCAGCCACACTTTGGCGTCCCGTTGTCGTCGCCTCCGGGTGCTGAAAGCGGCATCGCTGAAGACGTCGGCCGTTGACGCTGCGACCCCATCTCGTCCTTCCACTCGAAGTACCCGCAGCTGTCGGCACCCTGAAAGCTGCAAGAATAAAACTCTCGGTTTTGGTTCGGGCCCGGCCTTCTGGTTGTGCGTAAAATGCAGGAGACATTGTGGCCCGAGCACAACGGCGCAGCATCATTTGATACAACAGCAGCGCCTCTCGTAGAAGTCGGCATCGTCGGTCCAGCGGCCGTGTCCACAACTTCATCCTTCCACTGAAAGTACCCGCAGCTGTTGTCGGTCTGGCTGCGTCTGCAAGTGTAAAACTGTCGGCCCTTGTTGGGTCCTTCCTTTCTGACTGTTCTTTCGGCGCAAGGTTCACCATGTCCAGGACACTTCACCACTGAGCCCGAGTCGGAAACCCATGCAAAGAAATCGCATTGCTCGCCCTGGGGAAGTGGGCACACGTGGAACATGCGCCCTTTGTTCGGGCCATCTCGACTAACCTCTCGTTCCGCGCAGGGCAAGCCATGATCTCCACACCGAGGCACGTCAGAGGTCATACTTGGAGCTGTGTGTGGCTGAAGCTGATCTCGCGGAGTGTCTGTAGACCCTGATGGAGTTCGCTGGCGCTTCCGTCGTTGATCTTGGCTCACACTGTCGCTCGGACTAGAATCAGGAAGACCTAATACCGTAGAATTGCGTGCCCTGACCTCACCACGGACAGGGAAACGATCAACCGTTGGGTGAGGCCTCACATCCATTCGAGGTGGCAAGCGAGGTGCGGCGCTTTGGTTGACAGGCTGCCCGAACTGCTCCGAGAAGGTTTGGTCCAGCACGGCGGCGCTTCGAGTAACCTCCAGGAAAATGCTTTTCATCTACGAACAGCAAGCCACAAGTCAGCGTCTACATCCTTAGAAATAAGCTCAAGTGCAATCCACGGATACCTGGTCCATACACGATCTCACTACTTGCTGGATTTCTTTTCGCCCCAACGAAATAGCTTTACAATCGTTCTCCATCTGAGCGCACACAAAAGATTGTTTAGCTCACCGGTAAAACCACACGATCCATCTTTGAACCATCCGACTTACCGCAGCACGAAGCACTGGTTTTGCCAGCTCAAGGCCCATGTGTTCATAGGACAGAACGAGCGCCAGTCCGAGCGTAGTTGGCTTAAACTGTGTGTCGTTGTTGACTTTAATGGCGTACTCGCGCTTGAGGATGGTCTTGATATGCTCGGCGATAGTGGCGTCGGTGCCAATGCCATTTGAATCCATTTTTGCGATCAAATCTGCTTCCGATAGCAGTGGTGGTGGATTTGTCTCGCCAGACAGCATCACAACTGTAGATGGATGAAACACGTCGCCACGCTGGTATACTGGGATCGCTGACGCATTCCATTTCTCGTACTTGTAAATGTCCAAGTAATTTCGCTCCTCCACCATCAGCCCAGACGCCGTGAAACTCTCACCCAGCATCCTCATCACAACGCTTGTTTGACTGCCCTTGGCATCCCGACTACAGCACGCTAAAAAATGGCGAGTGACAAACTCGTACACCTTCTTCTCGTTTGGATCTGACAAGGTATTTACATTGACGCTCTTAGTCGGATGGATTGGAGGGTGTGCTTGGTCGTCAGAATTTCCATGTCGAGGAGCCTCATACTTCCCGCCATCAAGAAGCTGCTGAGCCACATAGTTTCCCCACTGCTGATGATTCTCGTGCAGACGGACTAAGCTCATTAGGTCCGTGCCTTCTTTAAATTTGCTCGTCTCCGTGCGCGGGTAGCTAATAAAACCCTTATTGTACAAACTTTCTGCTGCTTTCATCGTCGCCTCAGACGAGATTCGCAGCCAGCGCGATGCTCGCTTTTGCAGCTCCACAGTCGTGAGTGGCAGCGGCTTCCGTTTCCATGAAGGCCGCTTGTCCACCGACTCGATTGTCGCTGTTTGGCTCTCCACAAGACACTCGTAAATACACAAGCACGCCATACGGTCAAAAAGGTGACCGCGCTTCCACTTGAACGTCGTCGTGGGTGCGTCTGGCTGATCGGTTTGTTGATGTGTGACGCTAATGTAGTAGAATGCTTCTCGCTCGAAATTCTGAATCTTGAGGAATCGCTCCACCACGAATCCCAGCGTTGGAAACTGACAGGGTCCATAGCTGATGACGCTCTTTTCCTGTTTGATCGCAGGGAATCTGCTCTGAATCCGCATGGTCTGGAACCGCGTGAAAGCTGCACCAATTCTCAGGTCGATCTCTGATCGCGCGTCGACCGCCAGCGACAGCTTCTCGTTGGGCTCTGCCAGGTTCTGCACTGCATGAATGATATCTCGAGGAATAAGAGCCGAAAACCGGGCACGAAACACGCGCAACCTCCTGTTGGACCTCTCGCAGATGCATTTGACCTCGTAGGCGATGTTCTCCCCCTCTCGGTCGCAATCCAGCCACAGCACCAGCCACTGCGGCGGCAATGGTCAGTCAGTCAGTCAGCCTTTCATCCACCCAGAGAGTCAACACTACACCCACCCACCTGGCTCTGCCTCGCCTCCTTCAGCAGCGTCTTCTCGATCTTCTTCTGGGTGTCGTCGCTGCGTATCCTCTTGCACACTGGGGCCGTGAAGAGGTCCACCGGGTCGCACGAGTGCCAGCCCCTGACGCTCGCGTCGAAGTCCAGCTCCATGATGTGGCCCGTGACGGACGTGACGACCATCTGAACCTGCTGCCCGTGGATCTGGTACGGGAACTCGAAGAGCGCATTGTACTTGGAGAACCCTGCGCGCTATCGGCACAACGAGCAGCGCGTTAGAGAGCGGATTTGGGGCAGGGCAGAGGCGCAGAGGACGGCAGTGACGCGCAGCACACACACGCTGCGAGCGGCCCAACGAGAGGATGCTGGCGATCTCCTTGGCCACCGACGGCTTCTCCGCCACGTTCAGCACCTTCATGCAAATAATAATTGCGCGTGCCAGGCGAGCTCGCCTAATATTGGCCAATCAGCGGCTCGCAGCAGTTCAACTTGCTGACCTTCACTCCTCCTCCACACGATGACGGTGAGCGGCTTCCTGAACGTGCGCAAGCCGGCGGGGCTCACGTCGCACCGATGCGTGGGCATGGCGCGGCGGGTTTTCGACACGCGCCAGGTCGGTCACGGCGGGACGCTGGACCCGATGGCCACGGGGGTGCTCACGCTAGCGGTGGGGCGAGCCACGCGCTTCCTGCAGTACCTGACGACGGGCAAGGAGTACCGGGGCGTGGTGCGTCTGGGGGTCACTACGGACTCGGACGACGTCACGGGCGAGATCCTGACACAGCGGCCGGCGCCTTGGGTCCAAGAGGAGGCGGTGCACTCGACGCTGCAGAGGTAGGGTGGGGCGATCCACCAAGAGGTTGGATAGGTAGAACGGACTGACGCTTGGGCTTCCTTCAGGTTCATCGGAGAGATCGACCAGGTACCGCCGCGGGTCAGTGCCATCAAGAAGGACGGCGTGAGGCTCTACAAACTGGCGAGAGCGAAAAAGGCGAGAGCAGTGTGAAGAGGGTGATCAAATGACCATGGGCTGACGAGAGGGAGAACTGTTGCTGCCATGCAGGACTTTGACGTGAAGCCAAGGAGAGTGCACATCGAGCGAATTGACATCCAAAAGTTCGAGTCTGGGGATTTCCCGGAGGTGGGCCACGTTAGCTTGATAGCTGCTGCTTGGAAATGAAGGGGCTGACCTGTTGAGGGCTTTTATGTGTAGGCGGACATCCATGTTGTGTGTGGAGGAGGCACATACATCCGATCCATCGCGCGCGAATGCGGAGAGGCACTGATTATTTCTCCGGAGCACGTGGACACAACGTGTGCGTTGCGCAACCCTGCCGGTGAATATTGTGTCGGAGGAACACTCGCTGCGCTGGAGAGGACTCGAAGCGGAGCCTTCACTATCGATGATAGCTTGGACTTTGACCAGATTCGAGCCAAAGTGGAGGTACGGACCCATGGCCCCGTATGCAGTCGTTCAAGTAGCAGATTTTGACGTTGTTCCTGCACCAGGGAGGGGAGTCACCGCTTCAGTCGATTGAAAGCATGCTTGAGCATCTTCCGTTCGCGGAGCTGCCGCGAAAGACGGCACAGCATTGGCTGAATGGTGGCATCGTCTCGGTTCCTTCAAGCGATATCGAGTTCGGGCTGCTAAAGCGCTACAAGCTAACCAACGAGGAGCCCATTCGCATTTATTGCTCCTCATCACCGGAGCTGCTCGGCGTTGCACAAGTTGACCCGGAGGCTCAGCACGGACACTTTGTTCTCAGGAAGCGTTTATTCATCTAACATGGGGGTATCTCTCTTTCACCAAAACCTATTCGAACGTCGGCGAGACATTGCGACTTTGCTGCATTAAGTTCTGCAATCCCGCAGCCATGAGAGCCGCAAACATGTCGGGGTCGATGGACATTCCAGGGCCAGACGCAGGTCGAGCGGATTTCTCTTCCTGGGCATTCTCGTACGCGTACGCGGTGGCACCAGTTGGCTGCACCATGGTCCGTGCTTCATCAAAATCAGCCATCGACAGTGGGCGCATCGTTGGCGGCTGGGGAGCGGCGGACTCGTCGTAAATCTGGGGCTTCTCGCCTTCAGCTGGCCGGTTCTTTTCAGCTTCCTCCGCTGCAGCGCGGCAATTGTCGATGTGCTCTCGTAGTGGGATCATCAGTGCAGCGCGGCACAGCTCCTTCAAATCACTACCGCTATAGTACATCGTGTCATTGGCGAGCTGAGAGAAATCAAAGTGATCGTCTACCCGCTCAGTCTTGAGCTGAAGACGAAGAATCTTTTCACGCTGTGGTCTGTTGGGGAGTCCAATCTCGAACGTGCGCGGCATACGGCGAAGGAAGGCCGGGTCAACGTCTCCCGGACGATTTGTCGCACCCATGATAATGACACCAAAGCCACAGTCCTCCTCGGTACTCATTTCCGTAAAGCCGTCCCACAGCGCCAGGAATTCCTGCGGATGCGAAGCAATAAGCACAAGGTCAAACAATCGCCCATACCCCCACCTCATCGCCGGGTGTTCCCAGAGTTACGTACCGTTTTCATGGACGAAAAGGTCGGGTCCGACACGCCGCCACGCTTGCCCATGAAGGAGTCGACCTCGTCGATGAAAATGATGCAGGGCGCCAGCTTACGGGCCAGTGAGAAGGCGGCTCGCACCAGCTTCTGGGACTCGCCGAACCACTTGCTCATGATGGTGCTGATCTTGAGGTCGATGAAGAAGGCGCCAGACTCCTTGGCGATGGCCTTAGCCATCATGGTCTTGCCCGTGCCTGGCTTTCCGTAAAGCAGGATGCCCTTGGGGACCGTAAGCAGCTTCCCGCGAGACGCGAAGAACTCGGGGCTCTTGAGCGGCAGTACCACCAGGTCGTATATATCGCGCTTCTGGCGCTCCAGGCCGCCGATGTCGTCGAACGACACGTCGATGTCCTGCGGGTCCACGATGTCGCCGGCGATGACGTTCTCGAAGTAGTTAGTGTTGAACACGCGGCGTCCCGTGCGCTGCAGGCGGTTCTGCAGCTTGGCCTGGCTGTCCTGGCCCTGCCTCCAGTCGTCCATCATGGGCTTCAGTTGCTGCAGCGGCGACAACAGGCACAAACAAGTTAGGAAGGAGAGTCGGGGGGTATGTGATGGCGACAGACTCGGTGGCTTGCCTTGTACAGGTACTTGGAGGTCTGGTACATGGTGTAGAGCATCAGGCCGTCCAGCACCATGCCCAGCAGCTCATCCTTGGCGGACGTGGCGTCGTTCTGGCGCTTGCCGCCCGAGGACTCAGCGCTCTTGCTGCCGCTACCGCCCATCGTCGGGATGCGTGTTCAGTTGTGTGGCGAGAAATGGTATGTAGGGGGGTAATTACTTTCAAAAGTCTTTGTACAGACGCTTTTTGGCGTTAAGGTTCAAAGCCGCAGAGATCATGGCGCCCGTCAAGAAGCCGCAGAGCTCGTACCTGCTCTTCTGCAATGAGCGGCGCAAGCAGGTGATGGACGAGAACCCGGGCGCGCGCATCGGCGACATCCAGAAGATCATCAGCGCGCAGTGGAAGGAGCTCAAGCCCGAGGAGAAGGAGGTGTACGTGCAGCTGGCGGCCAAGGACAAGGAGCGCTACCAGCAGGAGCTACTGGACAACCCGCAGATCGACGCGGAGCCTACGGCTGAGGGCAGGGCGGCGCACGACTCCAACGCCTGCATTTACCCGCTCGGGAGGGTGAGGAAGATCGTGCAGAGCGATCCGGACGTCGGCAAGATCTCCAAGGACGCGCTCATCGCCATCGCCAAGGCATCGGTACGAAGATTGAAGGGCGTTGCAACTGTTGGCAGTTGACTATGACACTAGCTCAACTGTTATCGCTGTCTGCTTGATTGTAGGAGTTGTTTGCCCAGTTCCTCGGCACCAAGAGCTACGAGCAGGCTCTGTACCGCAACAAGCGGCAAGTCAAGGCGTCGGACGTGACGCGCACGATCCAGACGACGGCGTCGCTGGACTGGCTCCGGGAAGACTTCCCGGACGTGAACCCTACCCGGACAGACATTGCTGCAGACAGTAAGGCCAAGAGGGACCAGCAGCAGGAGGAGAAGAAGCCGCTGCCTGACAGTGCCTCCTTCTTCAAGCCCAGGGCTGCAGGTGGAACTGCCTCAGAGGAGTAGATTGGAAAGCTAATGTATCAGGTGCAACTCGCGCGAATGGAAAACCGGGAGCTCTATTTAATTGCTGCAGAAGGAAAGGGGCTTCCTCCTATCACCACGCGACGCGAGCCAACAGCGACGTCCAGAACAGAATAGCAAACAGCGACGTACCCAGTGCAGCCGCAGCTTCCTCCCCTCCTCCGTCGCGCCGCGCCGCTTCACCTGTCTTCTGCGACTGCAAGTGCCTAGAAGATGTCGTTCCAGTCGTCGAACTCCTCGTCGTCGTCCTCCTCCACCTTCTGCTCCACCACTTCCTCGACCACGGCCTCCACGCGCGGGATGAGACCGCGACGGCCAGCAATCTTGGCGACCAGCGAGCCCTCCGGGATGTTGGGCACCACTCCCTCCGGGAACTTGATGGCATCGAGGTACACCTTGTCACCCACGTGCAGGCCGTTGACGTCGATCTGCAGCGTGGTGGGGATGTCGTCCGTGAAGATGCTGCACTCGAGCGAGTGGTGGATGTGGTTGATGAAGCCGCCGCGCTTGAGGCCGGGGCTGCCTTCCTCGTTCAGGTACGTGATGGGGATGGACACCTTGCGGCCGGGTTTGAAGCGCAGGAAGTTGACGGCCACGGGCACGTCCGTCACGGGGTCCAGCTGCACGTCGCGCATGTAGGCCTTGACCGGCGGCTGGTCGTCCACCTGCACCTGGAAGACCTGGTTCTCGATGGACGTCCAGAGCTTGCGGTGCATGCGCTCGAAGGTGCGCGTGGGGAACGAGACCAGCACGCGCTCGTCCTTGCCGTCCTCGCCCTCGCCGTAGAGCACGCCCGGCAGGAAGCCCTGCTTGCGCAGGCGCCGGGACGCGCGCGATCCCTCCGTCTCGCGCAGAGCCAGCTGCAGCACGTCCGCAAACGCGTCCTGGGCAGCAGTAGCGGCCGCCGCAGCCGAGAAGCGAGCCACCTGCTTGGCGCCGGAGCGCGCCGCGTGCCGCTGGAGCGCCAACATACTTCGATACCAACCGTGCAGCAATTGACAATGCTGAGCCACACAAGCCGCAGGATGGGGTTCCATAGGGCTATACGACTATTTATACAATACGGATAATTTATGCAAGCTCATGCAAGTCTATACTGGTTAGACTATTCGCTATACGGATATACAGGATAATTTCTGCAAGGTCATGCTAGGCGTAGTTGGGGTTGAGTTTCGGATGTAGCTATATCGACTTGGAGTCGAAATCAAATTTAAAAGTACTGGGCGAAATTTTTTTGGGGCTTTGTTCATGTCACCACTTTCGCACTGCAACTACACCAAGGTGAACTGCTCGTACAGCAGCGCTCGGATGCGGTAGTAGTTCCTGGACAGCGTGCCTTCCATCACGATCTCGTTGTTCATGGCGCGCTTGAGCACCACGCCGTCGTTGCAGACCAGCATACCGCCGCGGAACTTGGCCTGAAAGCCGGCCTTGCCCAGCACCTGCTTCATCACGTCCAGCTTCATCTTGCCGTCGCTCAGCAGGATGGGTTCGTGCGTCGTCTGGCCGCCGTTCTCGTTCAGAGGCTGCAACACCGGCACGGAGCTGTTCTCCGGGAGCGCCAGTTGACCTGTGACGTACGCGACCTCGTGGCTGCCAACCTGTGAAGACAGACAGAAAACACTCGTCAGTTTGGCCATCTGAAGACTTTCGCAGAGCAACGCAACTGCCGACGCACCTTCCGGAAGACCGCAGACGTGTACAGCGACTCCTTCACCGACAGCTTGTACACGTTTGTATCGGACTCAATGTCGATACACTCCATCACGTTCGGGGTAAACACGGCCTCGCACAGCGGGATGGACGACTCAACGAACTTTTTCAGCTCGTTCGTAGTTGTCTCCGTGCCGTGAACCAGGATGAGCTTGCGGGGCTTCACGTTGCCGAGACAGTTGCGGATTGCTCGACCGTCGGCAATGCCATCAAAGTCCACTTGGGTGATACGAGCGGCAATCTATAGCAAGTACGTACGGGGGTTAGTAGGCAGATAGCAAGGATACCGATAGCGGCGCTGTGAAGTCCTCTTACGCTGACGGTGACTTCATTCGTGATGGTTTTTGTGGGGCGAGTTTCAGCGGCAGCTTCTTTGTCGGCGCTTTCCATATCCTCGTCTCCATCAGCATCCTCGATAATGTTGCGGCGGGCCTGGCGGTTCGCCAGCAACGTTGCATCCTTGAAGTCGTCGGGGTTGATAATCTGTTCAAGAGATCAACCCAACTCAGTTCGATCCTAATTAAGTTTGCAATCTAGCGCCGGCTTTGCGTACCTCTCCATATTCATCCCACTCAATCTTGGGCTCCACTGCGAAGAACATCGGGTACCGAACAGAAGCAAACTGCCCCAGGCCAACCTTAAAGGTGCCTCGAAGTTGGACTGCCACGCACACAAATTAGTCATCTAGAAACCCTAAGATGTCAGTCTTGTACCCGATGCGCACCTTCTTGCTGTGTGGTTTCCTCCTCCTCTGACTCAGATTCGAAGTCTTCGATTCCCATCATCATATCTTCCATTGCAGCCTCTTCGATCTCCTTCGCCTTGTTTTCGGCTTCCGTGCGAAGACGTTTCCGCTCTTTCACTTCATACAGCGCAAGTTCTGCTCCCTCCAAGAACACCTTTTTCGTCACTGTGCATGAAATGACCTTGGCAGCGGACGGATCCTTGGCAATCTTCAGTACACGAGATGCGAATGACGTCTCGGGCGTAGTCGAAGTGAAGATGATACTGTTCCTTGGATCAGGGGCCCAGCGGATGAAAATATCCTTCGCAAAGCCACACTCCAGGCTTGGCGACGTAGCCAAAACAACCTATAAAATATTGCAAAAGAAAGATTAGTGTGAACCTACTGTAGCGGGGAAAGGTGACTCACGGCCTAGTCTTACCTTGGGGCTTGGAAGAGCGTCTAGCTCCTCCAGCGTATGGACAAGGTGAATATGTCTGCAATTTACGAATTCAGGTAAGAACTCCAATCCGTGTTTTGTGCAGCAAGTAGGTGTATGGCACGTACGAGAATTGGAACGGGTTTTGCCGACCGACGTCGAAGTTCTTCGCAATACGGTCATTGCACCACTCTAGCATTGCCTGGGCGGCCTTCGGGGTGTAGTAACTCATGTCATGGAGCAGTGCAATCGGGTCACGCAGTCTGCGGTCGGACAAGAGCAAGGTTAGTGATGTAATAGCAGTGCCCGCAGCAGTGCTCACGTACTTGTTCTGGATCCAGTACTGGTCGAGCACCCGCATCAGCTCAAGCACACGACCTGAGCTATCAGTCGGGATCAACACATTACCTCCGTTCCGGACCGTCTTCAAAATCTCCATCATAATCTGAATACAGTTTAATGTTGTTAGATCACGTTCACTATACCCCGCAGAGACAACGATCAGGAACCTGCCTTGCTGTCTCGGTCCTTGAGCTTGGGCTGCTCTGCGTGGAGGTTCATTGAGTCTGTGATAAGCAGCGTCGGGCGCCTGCAAACAACAACAGCGACGGCCCCAGCACATTATCAGCACAATACAAGATACCAATGGCCCCTGCAAGCGACCGCTGCCGCTGGGAAACGCACGTGAACGAGTCCAGGATCGTCTTCTGCAGCACGTGCTCCGAGCGGTGGTTGTAGTCAACTGCGTAGATGATGTCATCCTGCGCCAAATACGCCCGTCAGTCCACGTGCAACCAACCGCCCACCCAGCCATAAAGTGCGTCGCCCCCGTCTTACCGTCTCCTTCATGATCCTCCAGAGCGCGCCGCCAATGAGGTGACCGGCCACATGGGGCGTGATGACGATCCCCTCTCCGCTGCTCGTGAGCGTGAGCTTCTCCGAGTACTTGAGCTGCTTGAAGCGCTCGAAGACGAGGTCCACGTCGTCCAGCGAGAAGAGCGAGAAGTCGCTGTCGTGCTTGGTCTTGGCCTGGAACGCGTCGTACAGCGCGATCTGCCCCATGCGGTGCACCGGCAGCGTGCCGTAGACGGGCGCGTTGAGCCCCAGCTTGCCCATGGCGTAGGGCAGCGCCCCCATGTGCGCCAGGTCCAAGTGCGAGACCAGCACCAGGTCGATGCGGTCCACCACGCGCTGCAGCGGCTTGAGCAGCTCCACGTCGTACTCGTCCGTCCAGCCGCAGTCCAGCAGGATACACACCTCGTCCACCTCCAGCAGGTACGCGCAGCACGGTGCGCTCGAGTGCACGCCGTACAGCGGCGTGAAGGTGATCACCGCCATCGTCTCCAAGCGCTTGCTGATGACCCAACTGCGGCCGTGGTACCGGCTTTCAGTAATAGTACTATATCCTGGATCATGTATTACACCATAATAGTATATTTTCAAAAAGCATATACTAGTAGTAGTTGGATTATTTAATATTAAGAAGAAGTAGCACCTTCTCCAAAATTATACTATCGTACTACGATAAAGTAGTACGAATTTGGCACCTTTTTTTACTTTTTTGTATACACAAACAAATGTCAGAACACTTCGGATCGCTTTCAAACTAACTACAGTGTGTATGGAGACTACTCAAGTGTTCACATGCTTCAGCTTGCCAACCCAGCAAGTTGACACGCATGGCCATCACAAGACGAAATGTGCATCCTTGCATTGCACATTTCTGTCACGAGAGCTATGCATAGGCTGGAATAGCTAAAGAACTTAGTGTGAGCATCTTCGCCGCGGCCGATCGCTATCACCAAAGCAGCAATTTAACGAGAAATAAAATCGCACGCGTTGCACGAAGAAGCTCTGAATTCTACCACTAACCTCTTACCTATAGTATCTGTGGTATGTAAATTTGCGCTCCCATTACAACGCATCTCTTTCGCCTGCTTCGCAGCCGCAGCATCTGCTACATTGACTTCGAGCCGACCAGGATGTTTACGAGCCCTTCGCCCATCGACTTCTGCGGACGCAAACTTTTGTTTCTTTATAGCCACCTCAGCAACGTAGTACTAGATGCACTTGAGCGCGAGGGGATTAAAGAGGTGACTGATCGTCCGGCCGTACTTGGTGCGTGTGTTTCGCTGGAAGTGCAGCAATGAAAACGCGCGTTGTATGTGGTGCATCAAGTTTTGTGTCACACTCCACGGCTGCAGTGGAACAACGTACCAGGAGCCAAGTACTACTCGGCGGGATGCCGAGCTCAGTGGGCAAGAATGCGCTGGTGGACGACCGCTGAACTCGGCTGATGGTGTCAGAAACTCAAGGCACACCGGCTTCGACCTGGTGACACGTGGCAGGCCCAGTGATGAAGACCCAGCCGAGTTCAGGAAGGCACTGGACACACTCAGCCGAGATCATGGGGAGTTCAAGCCGCCGAGCTCGGCTAAACGGTACCATGTACCGTCCGATACGGTGACCAGGCTCAATTGAGTCCGGGAGTCGCGCAGTCGAGTTCACGGGTCGCTCCGCCGAGTTCGCGGGTCGCTCCGCCGAGTTCACTGGGTTATCCGGCTCAGCCGAGTTCACCGGCTTATCCGGACACTTTATCCGGCTCAGCCGAGTTCGAAGAGTTATCCGGACGCCTTATCCGGACCAGCCGAGCTCAAGCGTCGCTGCGCTCAGCGAAGGGTCGGCCGAGATCCAAAACCACCCACTTTCATTTGGTATTTGTATAGGATCTTAGGAATAGTAGAGGCGCCCCTTCAGGGAGCCCGACAGAGATAACAACCAAACAGAGCAGAATTTTCTAGGTCCACAACACGTGCACGCGCTTCCAGTAAGTCCCTGCACGGGCCGGATTATGTCTGCTGTCAGCACCCGAGAGGCATAGCTTGTAGGGTGTTGACTGGTAGCGCCAAGAGATTAAGGGTTGGGCGCGTGTCTCGCCAAGCGCGAAGGAAAAGTCTCGCCACCGCTGCGAGCCGGTGTTCCCGTACGTCCCGGGCACTGATTGCTGAGTCGAGAAGCCTTTGCTCTCGGCGACCCGTAAAAGCCCGCGAGGACCGTCGTCCGTCCTTTGGCGGAGGGTACGGGATTTCTAATTCCGGAGTCAGGTAACTCAGCTGGCTTCCGTGATTGACTGGCTTGGGGTACTTGGTCTCGGCGAGGACGAGACATCACTGTCCCGGAAGGGCCGAACCGCTGGGGGACATCTCAGCTCAGGCCAACAAGGGCCGACTAGCTCGGCTGTTGTTGTGTTTGTAGCTAGGGTGCCACATCTGACGATTTTGTGCGTGCTACTACACTACATGTACTTCCTTACCTGTCAAGTAATACATGTAGTTGAATTGGCACAACTGGCGGCTTCAACGCGCGCGGCGACAACCTGGCTACGCTGATCACCGATGTGCGGACTGGTACGTGGTAAGCCCTCACTTTCGAGATGTCTTCGATCCATCTCGAGCTTGTCGCGGCAGTTAACTTCAGTTACCGGGGCCATTTTCCGGCTTCAGTTACCGAGGTGCCGCCTAATTAATCACTTGTGTCGAGCATTCGTAAGACAGTTTGACGACAAATCAAATTTAGCCATGTGATTGGCTAATATTATGTGTGGTGTTGTCCGTGTATGCCCTTGGCCGGGCCGTCTGCGTCGCCGTCGTGGCATGCACCAGCAACGGATAGCCGTGCTGACGAGCAGAATCGGCAGCATGAACGTCTATTTGTTTCGTTTTCGATTTCGTAGTAATGTGAAGTGCATCACAGTTATTTGGCCTAACTAGCGACCTACTAAATGCCAGGTCCTTCAAATGAAAGTGCGTATTATACATATTTTATGAGGTCCGAGGAGCTCTTCCATGAAGCCGCGTAGTCGACGTAAGTAGGGAGATGCCCTTCGGAGGACACGACGCGGTTGGTACACGGAGAACTGAATTGTGCTTGAGCGTACATTGAATAGCAAACGACTAGAATGTACGCTCGAGCACTCTCTAGAAACTTGTCAACAAAGCCGAAACGGAAACACTACGTAGATTCAAGCTTAACAGACAGCAATAGACTGGCGCGGTTATAAGCGCTCTAGAATCGCTGTGTAATGGGCCTACCTTGGCTCACTACTACGGCTTACACGTATGCGCACGTGTATGAGGAAGCGTAGGTTTCTTTTACTTGAGTTAAGTATACTCGAGATCCACGAGTATACTTTAAACAAGATAAAAACTCCAAGTAGCGGGTTTTGGTAAAAGATGAGAACTGCTATTTTTGTTTTATGTTTCTGACTTCCTCTAAATGTAATATTCTAAACTAGGAATCTGCCAACGGCTGGTTGGCAGGATTCTGCTAACATGCAAGTCACTCATTGGCTAAAAGATGCTGCTTTCAGCCAATAGGAATCCTAAATGTGTATGGACCACCTGTCGTGGTGGTCATAAATGTATGTAGCCATTGGTGTGCCTTACACCAAGGTCGAGGAAGTGTTCGAACCTCTAACAGACATCGCATCTGTTAGAGTAACAAGTGACTGTAGCCACTTGTGCGTGTAACCCCGTTACACGCTGCCTCTTATGCTACGTAACTAACCACGTTATTGAAGGAAGGCTTGCCCGCATCATGATACGTACATTGCAACCTGACAGTACGAAAACTCCTACAATATTTCCCTCCTGACACTATTCCTTACCATCCAGGCACTGAAAAGCTCTGGACGTGGCATTTTAAGAGCAACAGATCAGAACAGCCTTAGCGCTAAGGCTTCACGCAAGGCCTGGCGCGGCCGCTGTGGCTGCAGCCAGAATATCATCCTGTTGTCGACGGACCTACGCGCCATGCAACTGCGTCGTCTTGGCGAACAAAGGTGCCACCAACACAGCCTGCATCCGCACCGCTGTCGTGGTTGAGTGGGCCCGAGCATGCACATGCAGCTCTGCACGTCAAGTAGAGCTTTTGGCCAATAATATGGCGCAAACTGGTGTCCGACAAACTGTCTTACGTTTTGAGTGACACAATACAATGTAACCACTGGTATACTAAAATCAAGATGTAATCAAAATGCGTTGATTGCAAAACGTAAGACGCTTTGTCTTACGGTATGCTCTCTAGGGACCAGTATCGTCTTACGAAAGAGCATGAATCACTTGTGTCGAGCATTCGTAAGACAGTTTGACGACAAATCAAATTTAGCCATGTGATTGGCTAATATTATGTGTGGTGTTGTCCGTGTATGCCCTTGGCCGGGCCGTCTGCGTCGCCGTCGTGGCATGCACCAGCAACGGATAGCCGTGCTGACGAGCAGAATCGGCAGCATGAACGTCTATTTGTTTCGTTTTCGATTTCGTAGTAATGTGAAGTGCATCACAGTTATTTGGCCTAACTAGCGACCTACTAAATGCCAGGTCCTTCAAATGAAAGTGCATATTATACATATTTTATGAGGTCCGAGGAGCTCTTCCATGAAGCCGCGTAGTCGACGTAAGTAGGGAGATGCCCTTCGGAGGACACGACGCGGTTGGTACACGGAGAACTGAATTGTGCTTGAGCGTACATTGAATAGCAAACGACTAGAATGTACGCTCGAGCACTCTCTAGAAACTTGTCAACAAAGCCGAAACGGAAACACTACGTAGATTCAAGCTTAACAGACAGCAATAGACTGGCGCGGTTATAAGCGCTCTAGAATCGCTGTGTAATGGGCCTACCTTGGCTCACTACTACGGCTTACACGTATGCGCACGTGTATGAGGAAGCGTAGGTTTCTTTTACTTGAGTTAAGTATACTCGAGATCCACGAGTATACTTTAAACAAGATAAAAACTCCAAGTAGCGGGTTTTGGTAAAAGATGAGAACTGCTATTTTTGTTTTATGTTTCTGACTTCCTCTAAATGTAATATTCTAAACTAGGAATCTGCCAACGGCTGGTTGGCAGGATTCTGCTAACATGCAAGTCACTCATTGGCTAAAAGATGCTGCTTTCAGCCAATAGGAATCCTAAATGTGTATGGACCACCTGTCGTGGTGGTCATAAATGTATGTAGCCATTGGTGTGCCTTACACCAAGGTCGAGGAAGTGTTCGAACCTCTAACAGACATCGCATCTGTTAGAGTAACAAGTGACTGTAGCCACTTGTGCGTGTAACCCCGTTACACGCTGCCTCTTATGCTACGTAACTAACCACGTTATTGAAGGAAGGCTTGCCCGCATCATGATACGTACATTGCAACCTGACAGTACGAAAACTCCTACAATATTTCCCTCCTGACACTATTCCTTACCATCCAGGCACTGAAAAGCTCTGGACGTGGCATTTTAAGAGCAACAGATCAGAACAGCCTTAGCGCTAAGGCTTCACGCAAG